ATCCATGTTGTTTTAGTTGCAACTGTTGCAGCTTTGTCGAGGTGACTTGAATTTCAGTGAAAACATCCCAAACAGATTCGCGAGATTTGATCTCTTAGTTCAGCCCAAAGTCAATGTCCAAATACCTCCGATTTCAGGAAAACACGAACTAAAATACACTCATGCATCACTGTCAGCTTGTATGCAACTGAAAAGAGTTTAAAATGTGAGACCGTAGCAACTGCTACTAAAATATGCAAAAGTGTATTAGCGCTAAAAATATCACATAACACAACAATCCTGTAAGCAGCATGGCTGTGGTATCTGCATCCCTTGGACTTTGCCTTACTCAGTTTCGCCTTACTCAGCACTATTCCAGCCTTGTGCTGTCCAATTGTAGACAATCCAGAGACGTCATGAGTATTGATGTACACAATTGGGAAACGATGATATGCAAGCCTACCAAAGAAAACTTTCCCACTGTGCAGGAAAACGAAGAAAAGCCCACATTAATCGTGGAAATGGCAACATAAACATAATACCTCGCTACTGAAACAGTAAAAAACGGCAACGAAAGACTATGAAACTGGACATTTTTGCATCAGCGAACTTTGACCTCTACTGCGCATGCACATTACGATCTGTTCTTCTTTTAAAATTTCGAGCAACCTTGAATCGCCTAGTGTAGGAAAAGTATTGAATATGTCGAAATAATTGCTGTCAATTATTTGATACGAATGGAAAGTAAACTAAACAAGTGTGCACACAAGTATGATGATGATAAATGCCAAATAACACAACAGAAATAATTTAAATAGGGAATCTAACTTTTGTCCAAGCTGGAAAATGTCAACATGCGGTGTAGGCTTCCTCTTCAATGTGCGCAGGTGCAAAATCAAAGTTGCAGGCTCCTCGGTTTTTTATCCAGTTTCAGCGATTTAAAGTTGCCGTTTTAACTGTTTCAGTAGCGAGGTATTATGTTTTTGTTGCTATTTCCACGATTAATGTGGGCTTTTCTGCGTTTTTCTGAACAGTGGGAAAGTTTTCTTTGGTAGGCCTGATATGGATCAACCAAGTCAGCAAGCCGTGTATTCATTTGCCAGTGGACAACCTTTAAATCGAATGGTTGGTTGGTTGGATAATGGTGCACTCAGCAATATTCCAGCTATATGGCAGCAGTCGGTAGATAATCTAGTCTGGACCAGACAATCCAATGATCAACAGCATGAGCATCGATCAACACAATTGGGATATGATGGACAAACTTAGGAAGACCTTCAGACAATTTTTTTTTTAAATTTTTCTTTTTTATTCCATTTCAAGTCTCACATAAAAAACATATGGCAAAGAGGACAACAACCAAATATATATGTATATAGCTTCAGTGATGTTTTGCAAGGTTCTATATGACATAAAAGACAGTATTGCAAACATATACACACACGCGCACACATACATATACATACATATGCACATACATACACGCATGTATACATATATATAAATATAACATCATGAGATTACAACAATTATATAGATACATAAGATGTCATTAAAGTTTCTGTGGAGGGAATTTGAAATTGGAGGGGTAAGGTTGAATAGTATGGTTGTAGTGAGTAGGTTAAAATTTTGAAAATAGCTTGATGGTACATACAATAAAGCAACAGTTGGTTGAATGTTTGACCAAGAAGTGTGACAAACTTGTTTATATTATATAGAGCAGTGACACACACAAACACCAACCTTCTCTACCACAACAGTCCAGAGATGTATAAAACCAATACAAATTTTGTTGACACTGTGACTGAGAAAATACAAAACCATTGCCAGAGACTAATAAGTATTGATTATCAGCCTAAACAAATTCCACTGGGCGTAAAGAGTGAGTGAGTTTAGTTTTATGCTGTTAAAAGCATCAGCAGAGGACACCAGAAATGGGCTTCATACATTGTACCTATGTGGGGAATTGACCACGGCTCCTTAACGTGAACAGCGAATGTTTTAACCACTAGGCCACCTTACCTTCTGGGCGTAGAAACAAAGTTGGAGTTAGAATCATAAGAATGGACTGACTGACTGAGTTTGGTTTGGTTTTACGCTTTTAGCAATATTCCAGCAATATCACTGGGGACACCAGAAATGGGCTTCACTCACTGTACCCATGTGGGGATTCGAACCCAGGTCTTCGGCGTGACGAGCCAACGCTTTAACCATTAGACTACCCCACCGCCCCACACAAGAATGGATCAAAACACAGGTATCTCAAGTGGTTTATGTTTCTTCAAACAATATTTTAGTTCGGATAAAATCAATACACATGCATAGCATGGTACAAGGGAAATTCCAATAAGAATTCACAAGCCTAAACATGCTGATTACTAGGGCTGCAACGAATACACTTTGTGGTGAATATGATACGTATCATGAATATTTGGTAACGAATACGAATAATTATTCACGAATACAATATTGTAGTTACGTGATTGATTTCCAATATTGAATGCCCATGTTGACAGTTTTGATTTGTCACAGCAATAACCAGTGATCTCATGACACTCAAATTTGGTATGTAATAGTTATAGTCGACAGTACCATGTGCGGCCCTGGCAAACTAACATGACTTGCGCTACTGCAAGGCTAGTACATATTCAATCCTTGCACTATATCTCACTTTCCAAAAGTACACAAGGGTTCAAGTAAAACATGTTCCCTTAAAAAAAATTGGAAATATTCGTTAATATTCGGTTCTGGTGACCACGATGAATAACGAATTGAATTCATGAAGGGCTAAGGTTCGATTCACCGAATATGCGAGTGCATCGTTACAGCCTTACTGATTACAATAATTGAATCAACAACCAGAGCAAAGAAAGGGTACTGTTTTGTCCTGAGGTAAAAACGTTTTAATATACTCAACACCCCATTGCCATTGATTACAATTACACTGGGGTAAAGGTTAATTATTTTACGATCACAACAGGTTGTAAAACATCCAGACCATAAAAGAATACTACACAAGCCTCTCTACTGCATAGATTTTAACCCTGTAAAGATTCTTGAAACATTCTATTGACTGTGCAACCAAAACTCAACGCCAGCCAATATCCCCTTTACCTGCAAAAACAGGTGCATATTTACATAGACCAAGCAACCTGCTGGCAGCCTTATTCCCCACATTTTCAACTTCTTGGAAATAACATAACCCCACAAAATGACACTAAAAACTGGTTCAATCAGCATATCACAAGTTTGTAAAGGGAAGGATAACAATGGACGAACAACTTCATTATTACCATGAGAGCGACAAACTTCCACTGAAACGTCGCTGTAATAAAGAAGTTGTTCATCCATAGATTGGTATCATTCCTTACTGCACCAACTTCAAAATGCCTCTTAAAGATGTTACGTAACAACGACATATGACACACCACCAACATAAATATACATAGAGGTCAGAGACGATTAATCTCTTCTATCAAATGTATATATGACTCTGGTATGGGCTTGTTAATTTAGTAGTATTAGGCTGCAGACGAGCATGAATTTCAATGGACAGTACCCACCCTGTTTAAGGATAGGCTAAAACAGGAAAAGGAAAATGTTTTTCCATGTCCTAACAATGGAAACATGAGTTCACATATTTCAACAAGAGACTTCAATGGTTAAGAAAAAATATCCCCTCTGCTATTCTTAGACATTATTTCGTTTCCTTGGAGAATTCCAGATGATGCAACTGTCAAATTACATGCTAATGTAGCAAAGATAATGACCATTATATTCCTAATCTGTCCTCTTCAATGTAGAGATTGCCAGATACCATGCCTGGCCTGTATACCTTATCTAAACAATAAATCAGATAACTCTGATGAATGTATTCTGCGATCTAGATTAACCATTAACATATAATTAACTGTTGCAATGCTATATTACGTGCTCGTCTCACCCCAGTCTATACAAAACTTACAGAATTATGTTAATACGAAAACATATTACTCACTCTCGGTGACTAACAGTGGTATTGATTTTCTTACAGTTTATTGTCAACATAACTCAATAATGCATGGCTCACCCTTGGCTATGTATCTCTGCCAATGACAAAACATTAAAAATGGTATTTTGTTTAATAGAAAAATACACACAATTAACTTCAGAATAAAGAAAGAACATAACTACACAATATGTAATTATGTATATGATAGCGAACATGTGTCATCTGTAACGACAAATGTATTTTTAAAAGATAGGTCTTGTACGTAATGCCCTTTTGAGACGCAATACATTATGGGAGGCACAACACCTTTGAGAGGGGCGCATGAACACATAGGAGGGGCGCATGAACACATAGGAGGGGCATTAAAAGACACCCACATATAATACTGACAAAGAACGGCTATCCTATCCGTTGTATAAACTGTTCGTGATCATGGGCAAAGGTCGAAACTTCAGGTATTTCTTTCAAGAAGCAAATATGTCACCTGTTTAACAAACTTGTCAGACATCATGTCTCTTGACCCCAATTCTTTATTTAGGACATTTTCCATGTGAATGTCCTTTCAAAGAGATACCTCTCAAACTTGGGTCATGGGTACATGTTACTCTAGGTTGTGTCATCGAACCCACCTCGTGATTCAGTTAGACGATTCAGTCGGGTTGTAATGATTCATTATGTTAATTCATCCACTGAATCTTTGATACAGGTAACACAGGAGATGGAATTTGATATTCAACAGCAACACATTATCATGGCCGATGCCTGGGTATTTCTTGCACGATTTCAGTTTCGTCTTCGTTTAATGAACGGTACTCGCTATGAACTTACATGCAAGGATTTAAAAGCTTATGGTGCCAGAAAAGGCACAGCATTTAGCAATTCGCAAGGCGATCTTCCGCACTCGATCGACAAAGCCGACCCGTGCGGAGTTTACTCAGCTAGGTGAAACAGACCATACCCCAGCCTATCCCCGACTGTCAAACTGCAGCGTTCACCATATTAATACCTGTTTTTGGGAGCGTTAACCTACCTGTATCAGTCCAAAGAGGACGGTTATCACCAGCGGCCCGAACGTTGGCCCCATCTTGAATAGACAATAATTCCGTGGACGCGAAATGGAAGCAATAGCACCTGAGACGAATTGGTGAATACTGCTAATATATCCAATATGTCCGTAGCTGACGTCACAGAGGGTTTGTTATAGCACAGGGGATTGGGCAGACTATTGGGGCTGGAATGTCCAGACACTACTTCCCTAATCAGTACTTTTGTATAATGCTTGCAACTGTCGACGGTAGCCCGACAACTACGGAAGTAATACAAACATAAAACGCTCGATTTACTATTAACAGTGAAGCAAACATATTGATTAAAATGCAAGATGTGATACTGGAGAAAATCCCAATTTGAAAATCGACTTAGGTTTCGTAATACAGCACAAAGTATTTTTTTTATTAATTAAATGTGACAGGTAATTTTTACTGCTTCTTCAATACACTAGTTATCCGTTGTTTATTGCGTGAACCTAAGGGGCGTGGCCAACGCCATTCCCTGCATTTTAAGTAACCTGGGTGCATATTGCGTGAGATATACCTGACTCAACGTTTATGACAGGTACGTAAGAATATATTAATGTAATTTTGTAATCCAAGATCAATGCAGCATTGACAATGAGTGAGTGAGTGAGTACGTTTTACTCCGCTTTTAGCAACAATCCAGTAATATCACTATGGGGGACACCAGAAACGAGCTCCACACAGTGTACCCATATAGCAGCGTTCGAAATACCTACCTGCCTGCCCGACCGCCCTGGACGGGTTATTTTCAACACGGACTGACAGATTCACAAAAACACCTGCCCGAAGGTCGGGTTAAAATTTAGACATGTATATGAAGATATTCATCATATTTCAGGATAAAAAATCATTATTAATTCACTCGTAAAAATAAATGATGAATTCCAATTGGATGATAAACTATGTCGCTTATCAAACCTAAATTATTTGCGGGCAGGTAAGTTTTGGTCAGGGCTGGCAAGTTTTACATCTAACCATGAGGTCTGGCTGAATTTTGGGGGAGTTTCATACCATGTATATAGGGAATCGAACACGGATCTGCAGCGTTTTAACCACTAGTCTACACACACGCGCGCGCACGCACACACACACACACACACATTTGAAAATATGTCGTTTCGTTTTGAATATTTACTAGTCTCTCCTGAAGATTCCGAATCCGTGCGATTGATGACATACGACAACTGAACTTCCGCCACCTGAGCTACTGCCCCCATGAGCAAAGCTTCACGGGTCTGTTCGTCATTCGCTACATGTATGGCTTTAATGTCACGGTAGTAAGAAAGCTAATAGACAACCCAGAACGTTTGTGTGAACGGAAGTCTTGCTGTAATCGCTGACGTGGTTGACATGTCGTCGTATTCAAGTTACGTGGATCAGGGATAATCTACAACATTATATAGTCTCCTAGTCTGTCGTACAGACCCTGAAGCAAATATATCCAAGAAAGGCCACGCAAGTCTAGAAAATGTGGCAAGTCTAGATTTCCTCAGCTTCAGGATGAAGAAAGTCTCAGGGCTCCTTTTCATTATATATATATATTTTTTTTACCATGAACTTTTTTCAGTCAAACATGTTCATTTCAGAGACTAGTTCTTAGTCTAATAGTCTCCCTGCTTGGATCGATGCTTATGATGTTGATCACTTGATTGTTTGGCCCTGATTGGATTATGTACAGACCTCCGCCATACAGCTGGAGTATTGCTGAGTGTGGCGTTAAACAACATAATCCGGACAGTGGATTGTTTGTGCTGTTGAAGCTGTCCGTGAGTCACATGCGGTTAACCGACTAATCTCACTGTACAAGTAAGACTGACTGTGTTTAGTTTTACGCCGCTTTTAGCAATATTCCAGCAATATCACGGCGGGGGAAATCAGAAATGGGCTTAACACATTGTGACCATGTGGGGAATCGAACCCGGGTCTTCGGCGTGACGAGCCAACGCTTTAACAACTAGGCGACCCCACCGCCCCGTACAAGTAAGAGCATCAGACTGACTGACTGTGTTTAGTTTTACGCCGCTTTTAGCAATATTCCAGCAATATCACGGCGGGGGAAATCAGAAATGGGCTTAACACATTGTGACCATGTGGGGAATCGAACCTGGGTCTTCGGCGTGAGGAGCCAACGCCTTAACCACTAGGCGACCCCACCGCCCCGTACAAGTAAGAGCATCAGACTGACTGACTGAGTTTAGTTTTACGCCGCTTTTAGCAATATTCCAGCAATATCACGGCGGGGGACACCAGAAATGGGCTTAACACATTGTGACCATGTGGGGAATCGAACCCGGGTCTTCGGCGTGAGGAGCCAACGCCTTAACCACTAGGCTACCCCACCGCCCCGTACAAGTAAGAGCATCCCAGGGAGATCTGAAGTGCCACCAATAAACATCAATTAAAGTTTAATAAGAAACTTAACTCTGCTATACTGTTCTGATATGTGTACTTTTCCTGTTGTGTGAATCTATTCGACGATCTTGTACGGAATATGTCGTTATGCGTTCTGAAAAACAATAAAAGGTTCTGTATGTGGTAACGTTTCGCCTTGTACATAACAAGCAGTCCAAGCTACAAAAGGAATAAACAGCCAACAATAATAACCAACCCGATCCGTGAGGATCCGGGTTAGAACAGGGCCTCCTTTCACAAAGCACTAAGGTGATCGTAAGTCACTAAGGTAACCTTAGTGCAATGTTAAAGAATGGGAGTTAAGGTTAATCTTAGTTGCTTCGTGAAAGGAGCCCCTGGTCTTCAGAAACCTAGATTTTCGAAGCTCTCTTAGCGCTAAGATAGTCGTAAGTGCCATTCATTAACATTAACTTACGACTATCTTAGCGCTAAGAGAGCTTCGAAAATCTAGGCCCAGAAACCCATGTTTGTCGTAAGATGCGACTGACGTAATACTGTGGCCAGGCTCGCTGACTTGGCTGACACATGTCTTCGTATCCCAATTGCGTAGATCGATGCTCATGCTGTTGATCACAGGATTGTCTGGTCCAGTCGATTATTTACAGATCGCCGCCATACAGCTGGAACATTGCTGAGTGCGGCGTAAAACTAAACTCACTCACTGCTTGATAACGGTGTCAGCATCTACACCGAAGAAGTTACTGAAGCTTGCCTGAAACAAAACTGTAAATAATTAAAATTAATGTAGACGGGAATTCGAGACAGATATATAATTTATTTCCCCAAATACAGTAAACAATATTTATTTATCACGAATACGCCAAGTGTGAACTGACTCAAGCGACGAAATGTTGCGTCCCACGATATGTGAAGCATGGGTCCCATCACTTGCTGTATTATTTAGTAGAAATGCGCACTACGACCTCTGGCTATACCGAACTGAAGTTATTGATCCTTAGAGTTAATTATTTGGGTAGTTTACTGTAAAATGCAACATTTCAACCTCCACGGTGTATCTGGGTCAGCATAGATCCTCGGCAGTCAAACCTTCAGCTGGGGCGTGGTTACATCCAAATAGGCGTCTGACGCCATTTTGTCACGTCAAACAGCTTGCTATGGGAGCGTGTGGGGCGTTTCAAGATATCGACAGCAATTATCGTAAGTTTGAATGCAGTGGCGGATCCAATGGAGGGGGGGGGGGGGGGACACCAACCCCCTTTGAAAATTCTTGATCCGCCTATGGAATGCCTGTCGCTTTTAGCAATAATCCAGCAATATGACAGTGCGGGACACCAGAAATGGGCTTACGTTTTACCTGTGTGGGGAATCGAACCTGGATGATCGGCCTGATGAGCAAGCGCTTTAACCACTAGGCTATCCAACCGCTGGTAGCGATAATCAGGACTATCCAGCTGCCAGCTTCTAGCTTGCTCGATAATCTTTAAAGATCTTGTACGTCTCTATTATGGAGTGAGATGCACATTTACATATACCTGTGCTCCTAAAAGAATCACATGCAAAACGGAAAAATCGCAGTTACCCTCCTGTCCTGTTTAAGATATGTATGTGTTGGAACGGCTTCGTAGTGAGCGATTGTTTTCATGGAACAACATTATTCCTGCAGTATCATGGCGGAGGAGACTATGAAAAAGGTGTCACGTGTACCCATGTGCATTGTACCCACGAACAGAAACTACCCAATCGCCCACTTCATGAAAAGGGGGGTCTTTTTTTTATTTCATTATGTGTGTTGGACAGCGTTAAAAACTTGCACCCCTCCACATACTCTAATTATTTCTATTACGAATGAATGGAAAGCACGTTTTCTCACGTGTTGATTTGTCCTTCGTCAGACGATTTCAGCAAGTGTTATTAGTTGCAGGGAAACACTATCGTGGAAATGCAAAGGCACCAAATATTATGTTGATGTGCGTGTAGTTAGTGAGTGGAATACTATCCGGTTTAGTGAAACGTTGAACTTCTTTTCCGTCTAGTCAGCTTTTCCCTACACTTTCCAAGCTCATAAGCATGTTTGCCATGCGTGGATTGCGAGAAATTGGGGAAAACCGAGTTATTCCAAAGCAGATGGCTGAAATAACACCAACCAATCAAAATTCTCGTTACAAAATGGTGGAATGCGGAAAGAATTAGGGTCGCAGTGTCGCGTCAATGATCAGTCGATCTAATTATGTCCCTTCTTCAAGAATAAATATTACCCGTCATCAGACAGTTTTTTTCTGGCTAAAATCTCAACACGTGCATTCATTTTATTGTGAACAAATATAATCACTCTCCATCTATTATCATATTTTCTAGTTTACTGTTAACCACACTGAAATGGTCCTAGCAACAAACACGTTTATTGTGGATATTTTTGTTCATGTACATGCTTCTTTGAACTTTTTCCAGGAAATAATATATATTTCCTTCGTGTATACTTCATGTAATGCAAAATTTTGTAATATCCACAGTTTTCTTATAAACACATTCTCAGCAGGACGCACGGTGATGGGATCTATTATACATCGGTAGTTATTTCTGTCGACACCGTTTCTTGGCGACTCTCCAAATCCGGCGGAGGTTTGTTTGACAGGTGAGGCAACATATTGGGTTTGCATGCCCCTCGTGTCGTCAGTGTGCGCACCTGTTTTTGAGACGATCTGTTTTGATCAGGTGCAAATTTCCTGTATGTTAAAACTGAAATGATATCGCAATATGATCTTTGATTTCGCGAACAGCTGGCGGCGTGTTATCCCTAATATATTCGAAACATCTCATCGAATATGACTTTTAACGTTGCCTTCGTCTGTTTATATGTTCAGGCTTCAATTTACCGTTTCTATATAATGCACGTGATTTCAGTTGATGAAAAACACAAACGCATTTTAGTCAAATTGTTTAGCCTAAACCAGATTTTACATATAAATTTAATTGAAAAACCTGACATAATCATTTTTCGTTTTGAAAGACACAAGTTAAAAATGTAACTTTGAATTTGTAAGAGTTAAAGAGAATCTCACCCGAGTGTCTTTTGATATCAATTATATAACCACGAGCTAATAAAGTTACAAATATCCGAGGCTTGCCAAGCATAATTTTACTTTTATCAACAAGTGTTGATATATTCGTTTGATATCAGAAGACACGAGGGTGAGATTCTATTTATCATAATAAAAAATGTACATCTCTGAACACGGTTCTGCCATTAGAGTGCAGCGATGTCATAGCATTGTGATGTCATCAAGTTCATGACATCATAGCATTGTCTGGACATTGTCCAAATCTACTGTCAAAATGATATCTCCTGGGAGATATCGTTTGATCTCATACAAGCAATATCTCCTCTAGAACACAATTTTGGATGATGAAGAAATGTTACACTTTTAATGGTGACAGGTTACAACAATATTTAATTGTTAAAATATAATCCAAATCTTCACAAAGTTAAAGATCATGCTATGTTTTGACAGTATACAACGACATAGGTGGAAGCCATCACAATTATACTTTCCTGCCACCATGCAGCTGGAATAATTAAACAATAAACAAACAAAACACTTCTACTTGTACAGAGTTAACTTGGTGGTGAGATGGTCAAGTGATTTGAATTTTTTTTCAAAACTCCACTGGACACAGGTCCAGTGAACTTTCAAAATCCATGTGACCAAATCTTAATTTCATTTGACCACAATTAACAATTTGGTTTCTTTTGCAAATAATCTTTATCAATTATAAACAACAGAACAGCTAATAAATTCTGAACAGTTTTTAATCAATAAAACACCAATTAATGATCAGCTAATAAATGTATCAAATTTAGAGTATTTGATATCAGTTATGCATTGAAATAAATTCTGCTTCTTTTCAGCTTTCAAGTTACTGTAATACACTTCATCTCAAGGGTTATTGTTGAAATAAAACATGTTAGTTGGTAGCAATTGCTTTTTTATTTCATCATCAGAATACATACATCAATACATTTCAGTAGGTTGGCACTGCTGTATCACGGTTAAGTTTGATGTTGATATTTACTTGACCAACCGGAGAATTCCACTCGATCCGGGCGTCGGGCAATGGTATTTTTTCAACACCTATGTTTGAAAATGTATCTCATTCACTATGACTGTAAGTTATTTTGTTTGCATGTATTGTATTAATATTATATATATTGATTGGAAACACTTCCAACAAAACAGGGGCGGTGGGGTAGCCTAATGGTTAAAGCGTTGGCTCGTCACGCCGATGACCCGGGTTCGAATCCCCACATGGGTACAATGTGTGAAGCCCATGTCTGGTGTCCCCTGCCGTGATGTTGCTGGAATATTGCTAAAAGCGGCGTAAAACTAAACTCAGTCAGTCAGTCCAACAAAACTGATACAAATGAACCAGTTCACTTATTTAAACATTAAAAGATCTTAATTTGTCTTTGAAATGCAGTCTCTGTTGACATTTCTTGAAATTTGCATCAGTGTTGATATTCCAGACCTTGTGCGTGGTTGTTCTGTTTTATGCAAGGAGGTCAAGACACCGTACGGAGATATCATCATTAAGACTGACTGACTGACTGACATGTATTTCGGAGGGGATACTGATTACCCAGATTCGAAAAAAGTTTATTTAGTCATAAACATAAACAGCTGTAGACAGCAAACCTCATCTACTCACTCATCCTAATATTCGCATGGGGCAGTAGGGTAGCCTAGCGGTTAAAGAAATCGCTCATCATGCCGAATTCTCGGGTTTGATTCCCCACATGGGTACAATGTGTGAAGCCCATTTCTGGTGTTCCCCACCATTATGTTGCTGGAATATTGGTAAAAGCGGCGTAAACCCAACTCACTCACTCACTACTGTTGGCAATCAAGTGACAATTGACTGTAAGCATCTATTGCTTGTTGTAGAATATAAGAGGTACCTGGATAGGATGGTTAGACTCTCTAATGTGGTTGAAGCTTGTCAGTCACATGGATTGTCCAGCAGATCAGACTCAATTGCTACATGTGCAATCACAGGATAGATAGATAGATAGAGACTCAGATAGATAGATAGAGATAGATAGATCATAGATAGATAGATAGATAGAGTAGATAGATAGATAGATAGATAGATAGATGGAGTGAGTGAGTGAGTGAGTGAGTTTAGTTTTACGACACACTCAGCAGTATTCCAGCTATATGGTGGCAGTCTGTAAACAAATGGGTCTGGACCAGACAATCCAGTGATCAACAGCATAAGCATGGATCTGCGCATTTGGGAACCGATGACATGTGTCAACCAAGTCAGCGAGCCTGACCGCCCGATCCCGTTAGTCGCCTCTTATGACAAGCATGGGTTTACTGAAGATTCATTCTATATAGATAGATAGATCCAGACTCAATTGTTTGTAGAGACGGTTATCATGTAAATAGATAGACAGACAGACAGATACATGGATACATGGATACATGAGATGGAGTGAGCAAGTAGGTATGGCTTGATGTCACGTTGAACAATATTCCAGCAATATCATGGCGGGGGACACCAGAAATGAGCTTCCCGCATTGTACCCATGTGGGGAATCGAACCCTGTCTTTGGCATGACTAGCAAAAGCTTTAACTACTGGGCTAACCAACTGCCCTAATGTAGCTGGGATTCTGCTAAGAGCAGTGTCAGACAACAAACAAAGCGCTAACTCATCCGCTTTGTCGGTTCCAGGGAGACAATTGCTGTAGGAAGGTATGGAAAGTGAACACCAGCCAATCGCGGCAGACTCTCCGTCTTCCGAGCTCTACGATGAACGAGCAGCCATCAAACCAGCTTTCCACCACGAGTACAGCGAGAGTGGTGGAGGTGGGACCAACAGACGGGACACAAGTGGATGGATGGGCTTCTCTGTCCCCAAACGATATGTTTTTGCTTTCATGGCATTCCTAGGCTTCGGTAAGAATAGTGCTGAGATTGTTTACAGGTGATAAAATTTAGTGCCAAATAGTCTCCCTATCGATGAAGATCAAACAGGTTGATCATTATCCTCTCAGTATTGTAGTGTTTAATGTTTGTTCGTTTAAAGGCTGTGAGCTAGGGGTGTAACGGTAAGCCATGCCATGGTTCGGTACATATCGCGATACACAGCTCTCGGTTCGGTACAATTCGGTTCAGTTCATTAACAATAACATTCGATAGGATAAACGTATTCATGGAAAGGCACTGTTGGTTTGGTTAAAGTTCCGAGAAGAAATCTTCTTGGACTTGGGGTCCAAATGAAAGTGCCTTTGCATGATCATGTTCATCCAATCGAATTAGCATAAGTTGACAATAGTGGCATAGTCTGTCGTAAAGACCCTGAAGCAAATATATCCAAGAAAGCCCACACAAGTCTAGATTTCCACTGTTTTAGTGATGACATTCCGAAAGTCATGTGCATAAGTTGAGTAAGATTTTCGGTACGAAACCGAACGTATCGTATTTTCAAAGTGAATATCGGTGTTACAAACTGAAAACAAAATACTACGGTATACCGTTTCAGCCCTACTGTGAGCCTATCATAATAACACTGTTGTTAAATATCAACGATCGGTTTGCAAAATACGTTGCAACCCAAATTCTTTCTTGTTCATCAACAAGCAAACCCATCAACAACAACTGTCACAAATATTGATCAGTTATTGATTAATTTCTTAGAAGTAACTTTAAGCAAAAACAAAACAAAAAAGCAAAAAATAAGATACATGCAAAAGAAATCGATATACTTGTGATTTGGGACACATGTGTATGTAATACTTACCAAAAAACAAAGTGCATTTGTAACCGAATTCCAATGTGAGTATGGAGGAGGATTGAGAAAGAAGTTCTCTTCTGTAAATATTAGTTTCAACAACAAGCACCATATTTTAACATCTTTTGGTATGACGCGACCGGGGATCGAACCTGCGACCTTCAACTCTCCGGGCAGACGCTCATGCATTTCGGAGATACTGGTCCAGAAAAAGCAAAGATTAAACATAGAAAGCTGTAGACAACAAACTATGCCCCATCTACCAGCCGAACATTATTTCAAGCGAACCCCATAGAGTTTTGGCCCTTGGAGGGTTCTTTACGAATGTCCTGCGCACAACTGGTGATTGAAACCAGTTCGGCAAACACCGACAACACCACGTGTGACAGTTTTCGATGTACGGAGCAATTGTTTACATTCCATATATAGCAAGTGCTCTCTGTTTGGAAGCTGTTCGCCTCGAAGTTTCAATTATCGATTTCAGGCAAGTTGTAAGGGATAATACGTCTTTTATTGCATCAGTAGGAAGTTAAAGTGAGTGCATATGCCCCCAATATATAAAATATAGGCCAAAATATTGTTGAAAATGTGTGACATTGTGCCTTTAAGAGAACTTGGTGAAATGACACAAGTGAAGCTACTCTTTGACTTCCATATTCCATATTGCGTATCTCGCTTTTAAAAAAATATGACTAGTTCCAAGCGAAAGACACTCTTTCAAAAAACATTTGTAAACATTTGATTCGAGTCAGCACGGATAACGAATTGAAATAATGAACAAATGCGGTTTGAAAAAATTTCATTGCATTGAACTTATTATATATTCATAAAGAGTGTACAACAAGGTATACAACAATTGATGACAAGATGGTTAATTGGGACACCTGTCAAACTATAGACCCCAAAATTTGTCCCCAAATTTGAAAAATATCCGTCCTATAGTTTTCGAGTTGTTTGTTGAGCTGACTTTTGATGGGAAATTTCACCATTCAAGATATTTATTCTGGACAAAATTAATACATCCAATACTGCACTGCACCTCTCCTTTAGACAGTCAGAAGCTGTTTTTCAAATTTGAAAACATTTCGACCAATATTTGTCAAGTTATTGGTTGAGCAATCTTTTCTTTGTTCAAGCCATGCTCAGTGCTCATAAGTCCACCATATCTGGAGAGCTGCTCAGTATGGGTGGGCGATGATACCAGTTAACCGGTATATTGCAATTCGAACTTCATAATATGATATATTGCGGTACACATTTCGCGAACCGGTTCACCCGATACGATCGGCAATTTCCGTGACCATGATCGGTAATTTTTCATGATGCAGTAAAAATACTAATAACATTTGTATTTCGTTTATATTATTACACATTAATAGTTTTGAGAATGTTTATTGGTCATATACTTGCAATGCGTGACTTTTAAACCATATAAATAAAAAAATAGATTGGTACCGGCTCTCGTTGTAGGGATAAACAAACCAAAATGGCGGACACTGCTGCAGACGCTTTTTCTGGAATTCCAAACTTTTAATTGAAGCCTTCATTTTGGAAACATTTTCAATTCAATTCTTGCACAATCACATCTGAGTCCTGACAGTGGCCAGTGGCATTGTTTCAAAAGAAAGAAAACATTAATTTCATTACCTAACCCATGTGTTACACTTTCACAATATATTGCAATACATATTGCAGTGCGCCAACACATATCACAATATATCGCAATACGAACATTTTGGCAATACCCAACCCTACTGCTCAGTGCTGAAGATTCCTCCACATCTGATTCAGGGCATTTTTTTCAGGTAACATCTATGCCCTAAGAGTGAATCTGAGTGTCGCCATCGTTGCAATGACCAAAAACAGAACAGTGCTCGTGAATGGGAATGATACCGTGGTGAGTTGCACATCTTGACTTTTCAGTTTATCAGAATTTGTAAGAGTGAGTGAGTGAGTTTAGTTTTACGCAGCACTCAGCAATATTCCAGCTATATGGCGGCGGTCTGTAAATAATCGCGTCTAGACCAGACAATCCAGTGATCAACAACATGAGAATCGATCTGTGTAATTGGGAACCGATGACATGTGTCAACCAAGTCAGCGTTGACGACAAGCATGGGTTACTGAAGGTTCATTCTAACCCCGACCTTCACGGGTAGAATTTGTGAGAACTGGTAAGAGTGAATATATCTGTGATGTATCACTCACAAGTAGATCTGCAACGGTATATACTACGGACCTCAGTATACCACAGACCTCAGTATACCACAGACCTCTGTTTACCACAGACCTCAGTATACCAAAGACCTCAGTATACCTCGGACTTAGTATACTGCTATATTTACCATCAGTTCCGTTTTCGATTCTTTTCTTGTCTATTTCAGTTTGGTCTGGTAATAACATTGCCTGAAAATGCAACAAGTCTCTTCATTGGTCAATTCTTTGTTCTCAGCCAATCATTATTTATTTTATTCCCGGTGTTTGTAGTCAGTTATTTATAGTTTTTCATTTGCTCAATTACAAAAAAAATAATTTTGTCAGCCCAAATATTCTGTTTTTCCTGTTTTGTATGTACTTTGTGTATTGAATCAAAATGTTATGAACTGTGAAGTCTGTACCGTGATACATATCATATTGAAATGCAGCTCTACTCACGTGCTGCTCTTTTTGTCAAACTAATCGACGACGAACAAGTAACTCTTTAAGTGGCATTTAAAAGCTGGTATGATGAAGAGTAACAAGTTTTATGGACAGACAACTTCTTTCTTGCAATGGATGCAATGTTATTTGTAGATGCTATCACCATTGTCAAGGAAGATAACGCCGTTAAGATAGCAGCGTTAACATCTACGACCGCCTCCGTGGTGTAGTGGTTAGAAGTGTCTGCATCCATAAATTTTGAGTGAGGAAGGTCGTGGGGTTCAATCCCGACCGCGTCATACCAAAAGACGTTAAAATATGATACTTGTTGGTCCCTGCCTGCCGCTCGGCATTAATGGGTACAACAAGGACTGGTCGGCTCGGAGTCAGTATAATGTGTCTGAGTGGGGTATTCATGCTTCACTGCGGCATGGTATCACAGTGGGCTAGCACTATAAAACCAACTTAAGTCTGGGCTAGTACAAGCAGCCGCACATACACATACACACGCATGCACGTCGTCATATGAGCGAAATATTCTCAAGCACGACATTAAATCCATTTTCACCTCACCTCAAAGATTTCATAAAGAAGTTGACTATCCCCAAAAATTGTTCCTCTTCAGTGGATAAATAGGTCCCAGCAGCCGATGGATTAGGTGGCATGCTCACTGACTTGGTTGGTTAAATACAAGCCTTAGGTTGGTTATGCTGTAACACTCTCCTACCAAGAGTTCCATGTGGCCAGCCAGCATAGTACCTCTGCCACAGGCCAGAAAGATGTGACGATTCATCACATCTTACACAGTCCATTCAATATTATGTACATATTTCTTAACTCTTTTATTTTGGATGAGTCTACACATCAAATTAAAGATCATTGTTAGAATGGTTTAGTTTCACTGAGAAAATATCCTAAAACGTGTAACACTATTTCGATTTGCGTAGCGATCCTTTCTTTACATGGGTTGTACGGCTCCACGTGCTGTCATGATGGAGAGCAAATGATGCAGCCCCTTTGATATATAAATATGTATTGTCATAAACCTTACTAACACAGTTGTAGAAGATTATTTATGTAACAATGTAAAACATCATGAAGACCGAGCCAAATCGCTTGCGTGAGGTCAGTCTTTTCTTATGTACAAATATGCGCGTTTGTTTACAAACAAGAGAAAAGTCCGGTCACATGATATGCAAATTAGCCTGTGGCAGTGATGTTATGCTAAGTGATAGCTGCGCCGGAGTGTGATGCTGTAAATGTCAGATAAACATATAGAGTCCTCTCCACACTCCAGGAGTCTCCTGCTGACTTTGACTGGGACAACAACCTACAGGGAGTAGTGCTGTCCTCCTTCTTCTATGGATACATCCTCACTCAGCTGCCTGGAGGTGAGGCAGTGGATGGGGGTCAGGTGGTGTGAGTCAGTGAGCCAGCCTGTGAGAGTCCATTAATGTGAATCAGTTGGCAGATGTGAGTTAGTGGATGTGAGTTTGCTGGTGTGAATCTGTTGGTCAAGGTCGACAGTCAGTGTGTGAGTGTGTGGGTGACAGTCAGTTAGTGTGTGTCGATTGGTGTGAGTCAGTAGGTGAGGGCAACTAGGTGTGAGTCAGTAGGTGAGAGTAAGTAGGTGTGAGAGTAAGTAGGTGTGAGTCAGTGGGTGAGAGTAAGTAGGTGTGAGTCAGTGGGTGAGAGTAAGTAGGTGAGAGTCAGTAGGTGAGAGTAAGTAGGTGTGAGTCAGTGGGTGAGAGTAAGTAGGTGACTCAGTAGGTGTAAGTCAGTAGGTGAGTCAGTAGGTGTAAGTCAGTAGGTGAGAGTAAGTAGGTGTGAGTCAGTGGGTGAGAGTAAGTAGGTGAGAGTCAGTAGGTGTGAGTCAGTAGGTGTGAGTCAATCGGTGTGAGTCAGTAGGTGAGAGTCGACTGGTGTGAGTCAGTAGGTGTGAGTCAGTAGGTGAGAGTCGATTGGTGTGAGTCAGTAGGTGAGAGTAAGTAGGTGTGAGTCAGTAGGTGTAAGTCAGTAGGTGAGTCAGTAGGTGAGAGTAAGTAGGTGTGAGTCAGTAGGTGAGAGTAAGTAGGTGTGAGTCAGTAGGTGTGAGTCAGTAGGTGAGAGTAAGTAGGTGTGAGTCAGTAGGTGAGAGTAAGTAGGTGTGAGTCAGTGGGTGAGAGTCGATTGGTGTGAGTCAGTAGGTGTGAGTCAGTAGGTGAGCGTAACTTGGAGTGAGTCAGTGGGTGAGCGTAACTTGGTGTGAGTCAGTGGGTGAGCCTAACTTGAAGTGAGTAAGTAGGTGTGAGTCAGTGGGTGAGAGTAAGTTGGTTTGAGTCAGTGGGTGAGAGTAAGTATGTGAGAGTCAGTGGGTGAGAGTAAGTATGTGTGAGTCAGTAGGTGAGAGTCAGTGGGTGAGCGTAACTTGGTGTGAGTTAGTAGGTGAGAGTAAGTTGGTGTGAGTCAGTAGGTGAGAGTCAGTGTTCGAGCGTAACTTGGTGTGAGTCAGTGGGTGAGAATAAGTAGGGGAGAGTCAGTGGGTGAGAGTAAGTATGTGTGAGTTAGTAGGTGAGAGTCAGTGGGTGAGCGTTACTAGGTGTGAGTCAGTGGGTGAGAATAAGTTGGTCTGAGTCAATTTGTGTTAGTCAGTAGCTATATTATATGTTATATATTCTCAATCACTCAGTTTAGATTACTAACTTCGGGTCACAATATCATTTATAAGTATTTACAGTTACCTATTAAAATGTGTTGCTAGGATACATGGCCACAAGGTTTGGAGGAAAGTATATGTTTGGAGGAGGAATCTTTGTCACAGCCATACTGACCATTCTCACGCCGGTGTTCGCCACCTGGAGTGTGTACCTCCTCATAGCTGTCCGAGTCGTTGAGGGACTGTTCGAGGTAGGTTATACTTGTGTGCAATGTTAGCCCTTAAACCTGAAAGCTGCAGGCCCTAAGTACCCCAAACCATAAAGAGTTGTGGATCCTGATCAGAATGTGTTGGCCCTTAGTATTTTAGCTACAATATAAGTAATTCCCAGCAAACAGAAAATGTAACAACTAACAAACTGTGTTAGAATTTAAACGAACTGAAAGTGATACCCTGTCAGTGTATGGAGCTTGCAATGTCTTCGGATTACGTGTTCAAGGTTAAAAAATCATATCTCAGTAATCGAAATTGCTTCCTCAAAAATGATAGTTGTTTCAGTTACAGACAACAGCTGCTGATCGAGGTAAAAACTAGAAATTACTGAATGATATTTTCTGAAAAATAATACTCTTAGTTATTGTGGATGAAAGAGCTGGTGGCCAAAAGGACCTACAGAAAACAAAAGGTGTAGGTCTGAGTGGTTTTCAATTTCAAATGCTGCTTGTGTGTACCTTCAAATCACCCTCATCATTTAGATATGTGAATTAGCTCTTGCTGTTGGTGCCTTTTTGAACAAAAGGTATGCCATCACTCTCTGCTATGTTCCAGGGCGTGACATACCCAGCCATCCATGCAATGTGGTCCAAGTGGGCTCCACCGCAGGAGAAGACAAAACTTGCCACATTCGCCTTCTCAGGTCAGTTACCAAACATCTTGTGTTCCAGTATCTATACATGTGTCCCGTGTTCCAGTATCTGTACATGTGTCTCGTGTTCCAGTATCTATACATGTGTCTCGTGTTCCAGTATCTATACATGTGTCTCGTGTTCCAGTATCTATACATGTGTCTCGTGTTCCAGTATCTATACATGTGTCTCTTGTGTTCCAGTATCTATACATGTGTCTCATGTTCCAGTATCTATACATGTGTCTCGTGTTCCAGTATCTATACATGTGTCTCGTGTTCCAGTATCTATACATGTGTCTCGTGTTCCAGTATCTATACATGTGTGTTGTGTTCCAGTATCTATACATGTGTCTTGTGTTCCAGTATCTATACATGTGTCTCGTGTTCCAGTATCTATACATGTGTCTCGTGTTCCAGTATCTATACATGTGTATCATGTTCCAGTATCTATACATGTGTCTCGTGTTCCCGTATCTATACATGTGTCCTGTGTTCCAGTATCTATACATGTGTCTCATGTTCCAGTATCTATACATGTGTCTCGTGTTCCAGTATCTATACATGTGTCTCTTGTGTTCCAGTATCTATACATGTGTCTTGTGTTCCAGTATCTATACATGTGTCTCGTGTTCCAGTATCTATACATGTGTCTCGTGTTCCAGTATCTATACATGTGTCTCGTGTTCCAGTATCTATACATGTGTCTTGTGTTCCAGTATCTATACATGTGTCTCATGTTCCAGTATCTATACATGTGTCTCGTGTTCCAGTATCTATACATGTGTCTCATGTTCCAGTATCTATACATGTGTCTTGTGTTCCAGTATCTATACATGTGTCTCGTGTTGCAGTATCTATACATGTGTCTCGTGTTCCAGTATCTATACATGTGTGTTGTGTTCCAGTATCTATACATGTGTCTTGTGTTCCAGTATCTATACATGTGTCTCGTGTTCCAGTATCTATACATGTGTCTCGTGTTCCAGTATCTATACATGTGTGTTGTGTTCCAGTATCTATACATGTGTCTCTTGTTCCAGTATCTATACATGTGTCTTGTGTTCCAGTATCTATACATGTGTGTCATGTTCCAGTATCTATACATGTGTCTCGTGTTGCAGTATCTATACATGTGTCTCGTGTTCCAGTATCTATACATGTGTCTCGTGTTCCAGCACTATACATGTGTCTTGTGTTCCAGTATCTATAGATGTGTCCCATGTTCCAGTATCTATACATGTGTCTCTTGTGTTCCAGTATCTATACATGTGTCTCGTGTTCCAGTATCTATACATGTGTCTCTTGTGTTCCAGTATCTATACATGTGTCTCGTGTTCCAGTATCTATACATGTGTCTCGTGTTCCAGTATCTATACATGTGTCTCTTGTGTTCCAGTATCTATACATGTGTCTCGTGTTCCAGTATCTATATATATATCTCGTGTTCCAGTATCTTCACAATTTATCTATTTTTCTGCAGGTGCCTACTTGGGAACTGTGTTGGCAATGCCTGCCTGTGGATCCCTCGCGGCAAGCTCAGGTGGATGGCAGTCAATCTTCTACGTCTTTGGTAAGAATGTGATCTCTAATATTCAGTGTGAAGCCATTGTAATGTTGTTAATTTGTTAATAGTGTATAACAAGACATAGATATAGTAATAAGCTTGTCTGTCCCTCCATCCGTCCATCCTTCCGTCGGTCTGTCTGTCTTTCTTGGACCATATCTCTAAAACGAATAGGAACTCAGTCATGAAACTTTGCACACACCAAGAACAGGTTGACAACTGGTGCTGTTTGCTGTTTGGGGATTTCTAGATTTTTCCTGTTTCCATGCCGCCGTGATGTTGCTGGAATATTGCTAAAAGCGGCTTAAAACCAAACTCAGTCAGTCACTCAGTCCTGTTTCCATGGCACGTTTCCATGGCACATTTGACTTTGACTCAGTTGTCAGAGATGGCTTATGGCTTATCCCTGTTACATTGATATAGGAACATTTTTGATATTTACATAGATATTTAAGGGTATATAATTTGTTTCAGAAGAAGATCTCTTTTTGCTATTGCACGATTTTATAAACAAAGATAATTGAACAATAATATTTTCATTATTAGTTTGTAACAAAGATATATGCATACAGGGGTTGTTTTGCTAGAAAAAGCTTATTATTATCAACATGTGGAGAGTACGTGGAATAATGACACCACCAGAGCTCCTCAGAGTTCCTACTGCTTTGGTCCTGCTGAAAGATATTTTGGAGCCTAAATTTTCACTGGGCTCTTTTTCAATTACAATAGAATTTTTTGTTTGTATAAATTTTTGAACTTTTCGGAAAGTAAGCATTTTTTAAGTTTATACACAAAGCAATACAGCCTTCTGCATTACCCAGGGTGTCAGACGGGCTGTGTTCCTTGCACCAGACCTGTGTACTCTCCAAGTGTCAGTCAGGAGACTGGGAGATTCCAATTCTAAGGCGCCAAGAACAGTGGGGAGTTTGACAACTTGATACCTGCCTGCCCAACTGACGGGAATGGGTTATTTTCAACACGGACAGCCAGATTCTCAAATTCAACTGCCCGACGGTCGGGTTAAAATTTAGACATTTATATATGAAGATATTTTGTGGGCAGATAAGTTTTGGGAAGGGCTGGCATGTTTTACCTCTAACCAGCCCTGTGGTCTGGCTGAAATTTTTGGGAGTTTCATAATCTGCTCGGATGCATGTAATAATTAATAATTGGTCACTTACATAGCGCTGAACTCCACTATGCAGGGACATGGTCTAAGAGCATACAACATGAAGGACATTAGTACGCTGATAACCCAAGCTGCCTGTGAGGTGCTAGAAGGTTAATAGTCATGTGTCTTACACCACCGGGTACCCATTTTCTGCTTGGTGAACGGAGGCAATTTTGAATAAGCTCACTAGCAAAACGTGTGACCACATAGGTGCATTGTTGTGGGGCAGGACAGAAGTCCTAGAAACTCTCAGGAGTTAAGCAGCCACACACGGTCACCCATCCAAGAACTCTCTGTGACCAACGTTGCTGTACTTAACTTGATTTGTGACCTGCGCTCTATGCAGTGGTATGTATAATTCCATTAGTTTTATCAAGAACAAAGTCAGGTGTTTGGATACATCTGAGGCAGTATATGGACCAGCTCCAAAGACTTGGATAGTTGTCATTATTATCATTATTATCTCTTGGGTAGCATAGTGGTTAAAGCTTCGCTCGTCACGCCGAAGACCCGGGTTTGATTCCCAACATGGGTACAATATGTGAAGCCCATTTCTGGTGTCCCCCGCCGCGTTATTGCTGGATTATTGTTAAAAGCGGTGTAAATCCATACTGACCTACTCATTATTATTATCTCTTCAGGGTCGGTGGGCATTTTGTGGTTCCTCTTCTGGTGTGTCTTTATCTCGGAGAGTCCGGCCAAACACCCAACCATCAGCAACGTTGAGCTGGAGTACATCCAACAGGCCATAGGCTACACAGATGAACAGACAAAGGTGACGTGCACTCAACAGATAGCTGTTTCTTTGTTTCCCTTTGATTTACCTTCATGGATCAACATATAGCATTCACAACCACCTTACTGGAGATTTTATGAGCACTTCATCTAGATCTGATTGAGCACTTGAAACAAGTTAAGGTGAGGTGAGGTGAAATTAGGTTTAACGTCGTGCTTGAGAATATTTCACTCATATGACGACGTGCATGCGTGTATGTGTATGTGCGGCTGCTTGTACTAGCCCAGACTTAAGTTGGTTTTATAGTGCTAGCCCACTGAGATACCATGCCGCAGTGAAGCATGAATACCCCACTCAGACACATTATACTGACTCCGAGCCGACCAGTCCTTGTTGTACCCATTAACGCCGAGCGCCAGGCAGGGACCAACAAGTACCATATTTTAAAGTCTTTTGGTATGACGCGGGTCGAGGATCGAACCCACGACCTTCCACTCTCCGGGCGGACGCTCTAACCACTACACCACGGAGGCGGTCGAAACAAATTAAGAGTAAGAGAAGCACAGTGTGTTCAAAAACATAACCTGTTAAAAATAATGCCGGAGTGTGTCAGATGATGAAAGTTACTTTGATAGCCCTGATCTGGCATCGTAGTCATGATAGAGAACCTGAAGAACACCCCAATATATGACACAAGCCAAACAAGAATGATAAGGACATCACAACTTTCCTGTGTTTTCTAGACTCATAGCGTTCTCCCAATATGAGACACAAGTGTACAAAGTATTTGTGTGAGTGTTTCATGTAACAGTTGCCTTGTTTTACAGAGGATCCACCCACCTTGGCTGTCCATGTTGACGTCACTGCCGGTGTGGGCGATCGTCATGGCCCACTTTGCAGAGAACTGGGGCTTCTATACCTGGCTGACTGAGCTCCCTACTTTCCTCAACTCTGTGCTGCACTTTAAACTGGATCAGGTGAGTTGTTTGTTCACCTTACCTATGGGATGAGTATTGCTTGCTCACCTTACCTAGGGGAAGAGTATTGTTAGCTACCTTACCTAGTTGATGAGGATTGTTAGCTCACCTTACCTAGTTGATGAGTATTGTTAGCTCACCTTACCTAGTTGATGAGTATTGTTAGTTCACCTTATCTAGTTGATTAGGATTGTTAGCTCACCTTATCTAGTTGATGAGTATTGTTAGCTCACCTTACCTAGTTGATGAGTATTGTTAGTTCACCTTATCTAGTTGATTAGGATTGTTAGCTCACCTTATCTAGTTGATGAGTATTGTTAGCTCACCTTATCTAGTTGATTAGGATTGTTAGCTCACCTTACCTAGTTGATGAGTATTGTTAGTTCACCTTATCTAGTTGATGATGATTGTTAGCTCACCTTATCTAGTTGATGAGTGTTGTTAGCTCACCTTATCTAGTTGATGAGTTTTGTTAGCTCACCTTACCTAGTTGATGAGTATTGTTAGCTCACCTTATCTAGTTGATGAGTATTGTTAGCTCACCTTACCTAGTTGATGAGTTTTGTTAGCTCACCTTACCTAGTTGATGAGTATTGTTAGCTCACCTTATCTAGTTGATGAGTATTGTTAGCTCACCTTATCTAGTTGATGAGTATTGCTAGCTCACCTTACTCTGTTGATGAGTATTGTTAGCTCACCTTACCTTGTTGATGAGTAGTGTTAGCTCACCTTACCTTGTTGATGAGTATTGTTAGTTCACCTTATCTAGTTGATTAGGATTGTTAGCTCACCTTATCTATTTGATGAGTATTGTTAGCTCACCTTATCTAGTTGATTAGGATTGTTAGCTCACCTTATCTAGTTGATGAGTATTGTTAGCTCACCTTATCTAGTTAATGAGAATTGTTAGCTCACCTTACCTTGTTGGTGAGTATTGATAGCTTACTTTACCTAGTTGATGAGAATTGTTAGCTCACCTGATTTATAGGATGAGTAGTGTTAGCTCACCTTACCTTGTTGATGAGTATTGTTAACTCACTTTAGCTAGTTGATGATTGTTAGCTCACCTTAAGTAAAGGATGAGTATTGTTAGCTCACTTTAGCTAGTTGATGAGTATTGTTAGCTCAACTTACCTTGTTGATGAGTATTGTTAGCTCACCTTAACTTAGTTGATGAGTATTGTTAGCTCACCTTAACTTAGTTGATGAGTATTGTTAGCTCACTTTAGCTAGTTGATGATGATTGTTAGCTCACTTTAGCTAGTTGATGATGATTCATAGCTCACCTTAAGTAAAGGATGAGTATTGTTAGCACACCTTAACTTATTTGATGAGTATTGTTAGTTCACCTTACCTAGTTGATGAGAATTGTTGGCTCACCTGAAGTAAAGGATGAGTGGTGTTAGCTCACCTTACCTAGTTGATGAGTATAGTTAGCTTACCTGTGGGATGACGTTTCACGTTTTGGCAAAATAGGCACAAGAAACAAACGTCTCCTGGCGTGCCTACATTTGGCACTTTTAGAGCACATTTTGTTGCAATGGAAATCAAGGGCAGGAGCCTCATCTGCGTTATCTCATTGGTTAAATTTGTATTTCAGTCAATCATCGATCAGGTCCCATGTTTACAGTTAAAGTGGAGATCTAGAAGACTGAACAGTTTCATCTTGTCTGTGAAGTTTGAGTTTCTTACCAAAGAAAGAAGTTGCTTATCCATAAATTGTGTCTGTATAGTTTCATCTTATCTGTGAAGTTTGAGTTTCAGAAGACTGAACAGTTTCATCTTATCTGTGAAGTTTGAGTTTCAGAAGGCTGAACAGTTCATCTTATCTGTGAAGTTTGAGTTTCAGAATTACTGAACTGTTTCATCTTATCTGTGAAGTGTGTCTATCAGAAGACTGAACTATTTTACTTGTGAAGTTTGAGTTTCAGAATTACTGAACAGTTTCATCTTATCTGTGCAGTTTGAGTTTCAGAAGACTGAACTGTGTCATATATTCTGTTCTGATCTGTTCCAGGGAGGCTTTCTGGCTGCGCTGCCCTATCTGGTGATGGGGCTGGTTGTGTTGACCAGTGGCCATCTTGCTGACATCATGAGGGGGCCTCTTGGTGTCTCCACCGGCATTGTAAGAAGGATATTTACCTGTGGAGGTAAGATAGTAGCTTAGCAGGTCTGTTTCAGGTTGGGATGCTGGCTGGATTTTCAAAAATGTAACTTTTTTGGTTCCAAGAGTTGGTTTTTGTTTACTGTTGGTGGATGTTTGAGACTTGATGGTTTTGTCTACATGTCAGATGATATCAATGTCAGTGTTGGTCTGTATGAATTCTGGAAAAAGAAATGTTTGTGTACATGACCTGAAAATTTAGTTTTACAAACAATAAAGATGTACTACAGGTAATTAATGCAACGACTGCCTTCGTGGTGTAGTGACGCTTGGCATTAATGGCTACAACAAGGACTGGTCGGCTCGGAGTCAGTATAATGTGTCTGAGTGGGATATTCATGCTTCACTGCAGCATGGTATCTCAGTGGGCTAGCACTATAAAACCAGCTACAGTCTGGGCTAGTACAAGCAGCCACACATACACACGCATGCACGTCGTCATGTGTGCGCAGGGGTGGAAATAACCCATTGCCCGACGCCCGAGTCCAGTGTTTTTTTCTGTCGGGCAAGCATATTTGTATATCACGCTGTACCAATGTCCAGTTGACTTTCCAATGTTAATTATGTTGTTTATTTAAAAAATCAACAAGAAAATCGGCCAGTATAGTGGAAAATTTATCAGGGCAAGAGATTTTACTTGTGCCACTGTACCGGAGTACACTAGCAATTTTAAAGTTATTTCCAGCCCTGGAGCGAAATATTCTCAAGTACGACGTTCAACCCCATTTCACCTCATGATGAAGCTCGGAACCCCGTTGATTAGATCGACGATACACCTCACCAATGCAACACCTACTTTCAGTTATGATTCAGTCAAACACCAGTTGTTTTAAAGGTTACTTAACTCTTGATGCCTTTACAACTCTGTTTCAGCATTTGCTATCCAGGCAGTGTTTATGATAGCCGCTGGCTATCTGATGACACCGGTAGCTGGGATGACATGTCTGACCATTGCGGTCGGGCTGGGGGGATTTGCCTGGTCTGGGTTCAGCGTCAACCATCTTGACATTGCCCCGCAGTATGCTAGCATCCTGATGGGGCTGTCCAACACCTTTGCCACCATCCCTGGAATCGTCTCCCCAAGCCTTACCAGTGCCATTGTTACCAGCAAGGTAGCTGCAGTTGTCTCCCTTTGTCAAAATTCATGTCTGTTTTTGTTTGTTTGCTTTTCGTTTATGTAACGGGATCGGGTGGTCAGCAGTGTGCAAAATAGCCACTGACCCGCTAGCAAGCTGCTAGTAAACATCCAATGGGGCCAGCAGATCTCTACAGTCACTGGTCCGACTGAATAATGAATTCATGGTGTAAATATATCACTCTCTCCGACTTGTTATAGTCTGTTTGCAGTGAAAACGTTCTGATGAATTTCACTTTAAACAAAAAAGTAAATCGAATAAAGTGAAAATAAGATTGCGAATCCTCATAATTTTACCTTGCCAATTGAACATTTAAATCTCAGAATTTTATTCAACTTAGGATAAAAGTTCATGGTTTCAAACCACTATTATTGGTTTGTATTTCAAGGGGGTATGCACATTAGAAGAAACACCTAGAACAAGTATGGTTGGTCTAAGTTAACACTCATCACGTACTGCACATGCATTTGTTTCACTGTTCATCTACTACGCTTACCCCCTTGTAATACAAATCAATAATAGCGATTTGAATCTATGATCGTTTGTTAAACAACTTTTATCCTAAGATGAATAAAATTCTGAGATTTAAATATTCAATTGGCAAGGTAAAATTAAGAGGATTCGCAATCTTAATTTCACTTTATTTGATTTACTTTTTTGTTTAAAGCGAAATTCATCAGTACGTTTTCACTGCAAACAGACTATAAGTTATAACACACTTTTGAATCATGCAAAACTATGGCCTGATAAAAATGCTCATCATATTAGCAGCTTAATTAAAATTTCGGGCTAGTGAATTATTTTGTGGGCTAGAACCTTTCAGGCATAGCTAGCCCGACTGGCTAGCAACATGTAAATGATAACATTGATGCAAAACATTATTTTGAACCCAACATGAAAATGGAGTAATTATCTCTGGAATGGTTTCCAGGGCAACGCTGGTCAGTGGCAGATCATCTTCTACCTGGCGGCGGCTGTATATGGCTGTGGCGCCATCATATACGGAATCCTGGCTGGAGGGGAGAGGCAGAAGTGGGCGGAGCTTCCCCTGGGGTACCAGCCTCACCTTGATGACCCGGAGAAGGATCAATAAGGGAAACCATGAATTGGTCAAGGGTGCTGGTTGCAGGTGCTGGTTGCCGTGAACCAATTCCAGGAAATCAGTGCCAAGAATCTGTTCCAGGAATCTGTTCCAGGAAATCAGTGCCAGGGATCTATTCCAGGAAATCAGTCCCAGGAATGTGTCCCAAGAATCTGTTCCAGGGATCCATTCCAAGAATCTCTCTCGAGCATGAGCACATGCGGATTTGAGAGAAAGAATATACTTCCTCCTTCGAAAATGGTAAATTGATACAGGGCTCCAGATAATTTTTCATGATCAGGAGTACATACTCCTCATTTATTCAATATAGGAGTACTGGAAAACCTTAAGAGTACATATAGAGTACTGAATGGAAATTAATGGCGTATCAGTAATCTTGTGTTTCGTTTCATATATGCACCACAACATTGCTACTCTTGTGTAAACAGGTCAATAAACAATAACACAATAATTTTTCAGATAAATACGTTTGGGCCCTACGTCTGTAAATGATTCTAAGACCGTACACCATTGTTGTGGTGCGTATCTGCTACGCTTTCTAAATTATTTCCTACCGTATCTTGCATTTTTTAATCCGTACATACGCCGATAAGACCCTTATCTGGAGCCCTGTTGATATGTGATAGGCTTGTCTGGGTTACATCGTGTACAACATCATACACACAGCTGATCAAAGAGTTGCTTCCCTTACATTGTCTTGATACCCTTTCAACTGGGGCTATATTATGTTTATGTTGAAATCAGTAAAGAAAGGCCAAGGTTTGGTCAGGCCCCATTTTGTTCGTCAACATCTTCATAAGGATTCACCGGTCGTATTTTTTCAAGAATAAGAAAAAATATAAAAATTAATTTTCTCCGCTCAAAAAATAAAATCCTAATGTTTTTATTGGCCAAAAATGTAAACATACAAGAAATTTTGTTTTTAGAGTGTTTCTTGCCCCATATACACTTCATAAATTGCCAAAAGTAACATACTTTGAATATTTAGACCGAATGTTACTTTGACTGGTGATTTTATTTTTATTTTTTTTCCCTCCTGCCTTTAAGTTTTCTGAGGACAAAAATCCATAAAACAAGAAATAAAATTGCTCTGGCCTAATTTAAGAAATGAGTAGCGTATTCAGGTTATAAATATGTTCATAATGCAGGAAGACATCTTGCAAGTGTCATACTTCATACTTATAGTCATTTACAATTAGATTTGACACTTGCAGAGGGACAACAAAGGCCCTATATATTTGCTTCACCTATATCATTTCGTTCATTTAATGTGAAATACTGGTTTCAGTCAAGTGATGTGACTTCATATTGCTGCTGGGGCGGTGGGGTAGCCTAGTGTTAAAGCGTTCGCTCGTCACGCCGAAGATCCGGGTTCGAATCCCCACATGGGTACAATGTGAGAAGCCCATTTCTGGTGTCCCCCGCGTGATGTTGCTGGAATATTGCTAAAAGCGGCGTAAAACTAAACTCAGTCAGTCAGTCAGTCATATTGCTGCTGCTGCTGCTCCATTATTTTATCTCATCATATCCACAGATTCTTGTAATCCACAGATTTTTGTCCTCCATGAACATCTGTCATGTCTACAGACACCTGTTGGACCCACATACCCACCTGTCAGCCCCACTTACCCATCTGTCATATCCACAGATACCTATCATATACAAAGACGCATCTCTTGTCCACATACACCTTTCATATCCAAAGAAACCTGTCATATCCTTAGATTCTTGTTATGTCTACAGCCACTTGTCATACCCAAAGGCCCACCGTCATATCCTCAGATACCAATCATATCCACAGACTCTTCTCGTCCATAGACACCCTTCATATCCAAAGACACCTGTCATGTCCTTAGATACTTTTTATGTCTACAGACACTTGTCGTACCCAAAGGCCCACCCATCATATCCACAGACACCTATCATATCCACAGACATATCTTGTCCACAGACACCTTTCATATCAAAAGACACCTGTCATATCCTCAGATACTTGTTATGTCTACTGACACCTCTCTTACCCTGTCAGCCCCACTTACCCACCTGTCAGCCCCACTTACCCACCTGTAAGCCCCACTTACCCACCTGTAAGCCCCACTTACCCACCTGTCAGATCTACGGATACCTATCATATCCACATGTCATATCCTTAGATACTTGTCATGTCTACATGTCTACACTTTTCAGACCCAAAGGCCTGCCCGTCATATCCACAGACTCTTCTCGTCCACAGACACCTTTCATATCCAAAGACACTCATCATATCCTTAGATACTTGTTATGTCTACAGACATCTGTTGTACCCAAAGGCCCACCCGTCATATCCACAGATATCTATCATATCCACAGACACATCTCTTGTCCACAGACACCTTTCATATCCAAAGACACTCGTCATATCCTTAGATACTTGTTATGTCTACAGACATCTGTTGTACCCAAAGGCCCACCCGTCATATCCACAGATACCTATCATATCCACAGACACATCTCTTGTCCACAGACACCTTTCATATCCAAAGACACTCATCATATCCTTAGATACTTGTTATGTCTACAGACATCTGTTGTACACAAAGGCCCACCCGTCATATCCACAGATACCTATCATATCCGCAGACACATCTCTTGTCCACAGACACCTTTCATATCCAAAGACACTCATCATATCCTTAGATACTTGTTATGTCTACAGACATCTGTTGTACCCAAAGGCCCAAAGGCTCCAGGTTCCACATTCCACAGATCCACGTTCCAGAGGTATCATGCTCCACATATCTCAGAGCCACATTCCACGGGTTCCAGGTTCCATGTCACACCAAACCATATTCTACAGATCCATGTCTAAAGGTTCCAAGTTGCACAGGTTCCAGGTCACACCAAACCATATTCTACAGATCCATGTCTAAAGGTTCCAAGTTGCACAGGTTCCAGGTCACACCAAACCATATTCTACAGATCCATGTCTAAAGGTTCCAAGTTGCACAGGTTCCAGGTCACACCAAACCATATTCTACAGATCCATGTCTAAAGGTTCCAGGTTCCACATTTCAAAGAACCATATTCCACAGATCCTCATTCTACAGAACCTGCCTAAAGTTTCCAAGTTGCACAGGGTCCAGGTTCCATATCACACGGGTTGGTGGGGGGTAGCCTAGTGGCTATCCCCACATGGGTACAATGTGTGAAGCTCCATTTCTGGTGTCCCTCGCCATGACCTAAAGGGGTTCAGTATTAGTTTGGTTTGTAACCTTCCACATGGTGAGATTTCCGTGAAGCCCATTTCTGGTGTGCCCAAGTTAAAATGCGTGATGTTGCTGGAATATTGCTAAAAGCGGCGTAAAACCAAAACTCAGTCAGTCAGTCCATATCACACTGAGCCATATTCCACAGATCCATGTCTATAGGTTCCAGGTTCCACATTTCAGAGAACCATATTCCACAGATCCACATGCCACGGAATCCTATTCCACAGATCCACATTCTACCGGATCCAGCTTCCACGTCCCACATTCCACATGTTCCACATTTGAACAATTGCTCCAGTATTATTCCCTAATGCATGTCAGATCTCAGTGATCATGGGGTTGAGTCTGTTTGCCTTGATTATCGTTTAAGGTGTATTGGTGATTTGAGAAGCAGCAATTGGTTTGTGTCCCTGAGACAATGGAAAAAACTTTGACCATAGATCTGAGCCATCCTTATTGAGTTTGGTCGTGGTTGGTGGTCACACTGATGACCCAGGTTTGATTCCCTACAAAGTGTGAAGCCCTTTCTGGTGTCCGGCACCGTCATATTGATGGAATGTTGCGAAACACGACAAAAAAGTAGAAAGACATCCTGTTGTGTATTGTTTGTTAACAATCCGTGACGAAATAAGGCCTAGCCTTTGAAAACATTTCCGAAAGGCCGCTGTACAATAGGTTCAGCGATACAAAACCACAATGTTAGTTATCATAAATAGAGTCATTGACCTTTAAACTTTCACCTTGCCTCTTACTTAATCATAGCATGTTTGTTTCGGTTTATTTATTAGTTTGGGTGAACATAACCTTTTTGAGAGAAAAGTGTTAATATCCTTCCTCTTCCTTATATCCATGACCTTGACCTTCACCTTGACCTGGTTCTAGTTGTTTTTTGGAGTTCTTGTTGCTTTCAAAAGTCATGTTTCTTCAACTGCAAATGTGAATTCAGATGTGAGCAAATTGAATTTAACTAATTGTTTCAACCTGCAAACATGCTGCACAATGGAGCCTCAGAAAGTATTCTAGTTTAAAATAATCTTGTCAACTTTACCACAATCCAAATATGATCTATATTGGTCTGTCGAAAATATTTTTTAACTTTTTGTCAATATTTTCTGCCGAAATGTATTATTTATTGCAATATATATATATATATTTTTTGTCCCCACTGGTGCAAACATGTCTAGTCACACTGTGCTCAAATTTTTGCATATTGTACTAAAATATAGTACTCTCCTGTTGTTATACTGTGTATAGTGTTTGTTATTTATTCAGTGCTTTGAATCAAATGTTGTTAATTATCTGCTGATGTTGAACTGTTGTGTCAGAATGATCAAATGTATGTACCTGTATGATACACTTACAATGTTAGAACCCGTCTGGTTTAGATATTTACTAGGGACATATGTTCTTTATTGAAAATGATTGTTTAAACTGCAAGTGATTCTGTGGTATATGATTCGCTGACCAAGCAGGTAGTTCTTCTGTTGATGTCTTCATAAAGAAGGAAATGGTCACATCCACAGACAACAATTGCTGTTTGTTGATTGGCTGACAACTGTATGAGTGAAGCTTGTGTTGTAGTTTGCGCATTCGTAACTACTCGTGTCATTCCGGCAAGCTGGATGGCGACTTGTACCCCTCTTGTGAACATGTTCACGACTGGGCCTTGTCTAAGTGTAAATGGGCATGGAGATGAAAATAGTCTTGTACTGTTTCCAAGGAAAGATAACTCTGAATTTGCAAACATGGCTACACCTAGAATATCCTATAGCCCATTGGCAAAACAGCTATTCAGTCATTCCCTTTCGTAAACATGTTTCAGTGTTTAAAGTTGCTGCTCATTTATCTCAAAGTTTAAGTTTAAAGTGTGCTGTGCATAGTTTCAAAGTTCGACAGTGCTGCCATTTTCATGCCTTGAAATGCATTTTACTCCACGTGATTTTTTGGAGTGGTTTGCCGCAATTCTTGGCAATAATGGCGTACTATACAAGTAGGAGTCTTCTTGTAGGTCACGGAAGCATAGGTGGATCCAAAGGGTAGATGCAGGGATGAGCATGCCACCTTTTGTGATGAAAGTTTGTTAAAGGACCATTGAAACTCGTTTTTCTCAATAGTGTGTGCACACACACACACACACACACACACGCACGCACACCACCCCTTCTCAAAGAGCTGCATCAGCCCCTGCAGAAAGAGGCGAGTAGTTACAAATGGTAGTTTTCGCTGAATGAAGTCACTGATTTTGTGTCATTGTCTACAGTCTGTAGTGTGTTGATGATAAATATTACGATTATTATCATTATATATTTTTATTATTGATATATTCATATGAATTATCCGCATGTTTGTTCATTTATGAAGGTATTAACATAAAAAGGTGTGCAGATTTATACTTTTTACATTGATGCTGACATAAATGTAGATAATATTGACATCAGTTCTTAAATTAAAACAACAATTTATTTGCACAAAAAAAACATATTTTATCCAAATATGACACAACAGAAGTTAGCCAGCAAATAGAGAACAGTTTTTTAGTCATTTGACAGTATGGGTTTCAGCATTCCAAAAATCAGCCAAAGAAAAATAATAGTAAAATTAAATGTAAATATTCCAGATTGTCACGATCTCAGGTAAACCATACCTTAAGAAAATGAAATAGTTTTTATTTATGTTTTTTTTAATGAAATATTCTATCTTATCTATCAAAGGAAATAATTTATTGACACAGTGAAAGGTTCATGACATGAACCCTGTATTTTACACAGTTACCTCCCCTTTGTCTGATGTCTTCTTTGAAAATGACCTTGATGTCAAACTATACACTAACCAGTTTGGAGTAAACTAATGAACAGAATTTTCTTTTCTCTTATCAATGACCTATTTACATAATTTCTTGACTGTTTCATCACTGAAACAGTCAATTTTTGGATAACACTATATTTTATGGCTTTTAAAAAACCCAACTAGCCAGATGTCCTCCATATAGTATTTGGGCTGTGAATGTGGCCTGGAGGTTAAATTGTTCACTCATGACCCCGAAAACCTGGGTTTGATTCCCCACATGGGTACAATGGGTGAGACAACTTTCTGGTGTCCCCCACCATGACATTGCTGGAATGTTGCTAAAAGCAGCGTAGACCTAAATTGACTCACTCACTCCACATATTATTCAAAAGTTACTTATTTGTACAGAAAATATAGCTTTAACTTTTTACAGTGCAATGATGAAGAAGGCTAGGAAAATATCCTCTCTCACTATATGTACATAATTCATGGAAAAGAATAAGGGAACACCTGAAAGTACAAGTGTTCCTTTATTTTTTTCCATGTTTATTCACAAGGTATGTATTGCGCTGTGGGTGAAATTCTGGAAAAGAATAAAGGAACACTTGGCTCTTTCAGGTATTCCATTATTTGTTTCCATGAGTATATTTGTAAAGCCACTAGATGTACAGTTCAATTTTCATTGCTGTGAACTTGTACCGATATGATTTGAATCCAGGAAGTGTGATACTTAGGATGTGCTTTGAATGTGTATGTTAAAATCGACCAATTATTGACCATTCGTGAGGGTAATATCACATTATATGGACCCAAGAAACTTGACCGAAGCTATGGGTCATTGGCGGATCCAGAGGGGGGGTTCAGGGGTTGTTCACACACCCTTTTTTTTGAAAATGACTTAAAACCACATTAAAAATTTTGTTTTGGCATGTGGGGTGTCAGGGGTTCGAAATTCCTCAAAATTCCTGGATCCACCCATGAGGGTCATGCCAGCATCTTGGGCTCATAAACAATTGTATTGCCTGAATTATGGTCCATTATATTGTTATTACAAAATATTTAAAACAACAATATTTAACATTTGTCAGTATTTGAATAGAGGGCATGGACAGTTGCAGTAAAAATGCATAAGCCTTGTGTGACGCTCTTCCTGATTGGTTAAATCTTTTTGCATCCTTGCAGTCCATTGGCTCAATTCTATAACACCAACAGTACAGCAGATTTTACTTCAGGTTGGATCTAAGTGCAATACCTTGTTTTAAAGGAGACATGTGACGTATGAAAATTCAAATATGATTTGTGAATGTAATATTATTTAAAAGTGTTTACATATTGTTTTAGTTAGAGGAGATATATCCATATACATATGTATACATATTTATTTATAGATATAACTGTTGCTGGAGATATATCAATTTAGATTTTCTTTCTTTTATGTTCGTAATGTTAAAATCTGAATAAACATTTAGTTAAATTGTATGTTACTATTTACTTTACAAAATGGCTGTGGCTCGTGAGGTGAAATTGGGTTTATTGTCGTGCTTGAGAATATTTCGCTCATATGACGACGTGCATGCGTGTGTATGTGTATGTGCGGCTGCTTGAACTAGCCCAGACTTAAGCTGGTTTTATAGTGCTAGCTCACTGAGATACCATGCCGCAGTGAAGCATGAATACCCACCTCAGACACATTATACTGACTCCGAGCCGACCAGTCCTTGTTGTACCCATTAATGCCGAGCGCCAGGCAGGGACCAACAAGTACCATATTTTAACGTCTTTTGGTATAATGCGCCCGGGGATCGAACCCACGACTGTTACGAACAGAACTGGGATACGACCAGAACTGGGATAACTAATATGGAGAATTATACGTGTTACTTTCAATCGACAATTACGTTTAAACAACAAAAGGTATCCAACTTTGATTCGCTCAGTTAAAAGTGATATCTGACGAGCTGCTTGGGTGTTGAATTTCTAAACTTTATGTGAACTATTAAAGATTTTACTTGAGAAACTATCATTAAAAGTTTCTGACAACAACATTTTCACCACAGGGGCTTGTAACGCTTAAAACTGCCATCAAGGTATATACTGTCACTGACGGGATCTTAGTACTATAGTCTGTTTGCAGTGAAAACGTACCGATGAATTTCACTTTAAGCAAAATAGTAAATCAAATAAAGTGAAATTACGATTGCGAATCCTCATAATTTTACCTTGCCAATTGAACATTTAAATCTTAGAATTTTTTTCAACTTAGGATAAAAGTTGTTTAACAAACGATTATAGATTCAAATCGCTATTATTGATTTGTATTACAAGGGGGTAAGCGCAGTAGTATGTAGCGTTACAAGCCCCTGTGATTTTCACAAGGGAGTACTGGCAAGTACTGGAATAGCTATCAATAACGTCGCAGCGTGTGTCAACATGTTATGTACATGCATGCAGGAGCATTTCATGGGGGAGTGTTTGTGACGTCACAGCTAGTGTTCGGGTGTCGGCAAGATGCTCTCTAAAGATGCACGGGAAAGAAGCCAAGAGACAAAAAACCTTTTTTTTCTCTGAATTGCTTCACGAAACGTACACTTCATGCTACCAAGGTATCAAGAACATGCTTCGTCGCATTATATCCCTTGACAATGCTGTGGAGTCTGACACTGAAACCCCGAGTATCAAGAACATGCTTCGTCGCATTATATCCCTTGACAATGCTGTGGAGTCTGACACTGAAACCCCGAGTATCAAGAACATGCTTCGTCGCATTATATCCCTTGACAATGCTGTGGAGTCTGACACTGAAACCCCGAGTGGGTCGGGGAGCATCTCAAAACATCATGAAAGGGGAAACTGGATAATTTTGATAGACGAGTAGTGAGGGATGTAATTCGGCGTTTACGCAGTTCGAATGAGGCTATATCTTCCAGAAAGTTGAAAAAGATTCTTCAAGATGACCATGCTATCCATGTCTCCAAGAACGCAATATGCAAGTTATTGTTCAAATATGGATACCGCTTCAAGAGACTGCCCATTTCTGGTGTCCCCCGCCGTGATATTGCTGGAACATTGCTAAAAGCGGCGTAAAACACAACTCCCTCACTCACTCAAGAGACTGTGCAACCACAAATTGACAATCTGTGTGAAAGGGGCGATATCATAGCAATGAGAGCTCGGTATCTGATGAAGATATGTCAGATGAGAGAAGAAGGACATGAAATGGCGTGGCTTGACGAAACGTGGGTAAATGCTAACCATACATCTTCTTACCAATGGCAGCACCCAGATGCAGAAAACAACAGAAGAATACCTCTTGGAAAAGGAGAGAGACTCATCATTCTTCATGCTGGCTCTCACTTGGGGTTTCCTCCTGGATGTGATGTTGTTTTCAGGGCCAAATCCAAGGATGGAAGGGATTACCACAGTGAAATGAACTCCGCAGTGTTTACTAAATATGTGACTGAACTACTGATTCCAGCAGGGGCGGTGGAGTAGCCTAGTGGTTAAAGCGTTCGCTCGTTACGCCGAAGACCCGGGTTCGAATCCCCACATGGGCACAATGTGTGAAGCCCATTTCTGGTGTCCCCCGCTGTGATATTGCTGGAATATTGCTAAAAGCGGCGTAAAAACATACTCACTCACTCACTCACTGATTCCAGCACTGGTTGACCATTCTGTGATCGGAATGGACAATGCACCTTATCACAACTGCATTGACCCCCAGGATAAGTGTCCAACCTCAACTTCCAGAAAGGGAGATATGATTGCTTGGCTTGACCAACATGGCATCGATCACCCATCAAAATCAACAACAGTAAAGTTGTACAAGATTATTCTTACCAAAAAGCAACCACCTATTTATCAAATTGACAATCTGCGTAAACAACATGGTTATGAAGTTGTACGTCTCCCACCCCATCACTGTGACTAAAATCCGATAGAACTGGTATGGGGCCACCTTAAAAAACAAGTTGCACAGAAGAACAAATCGTTACAACAAAGTTAGCCGACGCAAAACGTATTGTGATTGACGAAATTTCCCAGCAGATTTGTGTAAAAAATGTGTAGATCATGTTTTAGCAAGTAGAAGAACAATATTGGCAAAATGATGGTTTGCAGTTAGAAACGGTCACACCATTGATCATAGATTTGGACTCATAATCTGACTCTGACATTGAAGTCGAGGCTTCTGGCACATCGGAATCTGAGTCTGAACATTGATATGTTCTCATAATATGGCAAGTCTTCACCTTCTCACCTTTGTAATATTATGATGTTTGATAATCATATTAATTACTTGCCTTTACCTTTCAAAATGAATAATTAAAAAAATCTGTCTAAAATGAAAAATAGTTTGGTGATACGGACCCTTCTCAACATGTCCATACACAATCACGATGTTACCCAACCTGCACATGCCACACACATTGCGACATTGTTGACAGCTATTCAAGTACTTGCCAGTACTTCCTTGTGAAAATGTTGTTGTCAGAAACTTTATATCATAGTTTCTCAAGTAAAATCTTCAATAGTTGATATAAATGTTAGCAATTCAACACCCAGTTAGGTCGCCAGATATCATTATTAACTAAGCGAATAAAAGTTGTTTAATCGTAACTTGCAAAAAAAGTGTTCCAAAAGTTAGGTTGACGGACTATAATAAAAGTTTGTACACTATTGAAAACATATTCATTCTGTTGAATAGTCATGTCAGGTCTTCCAAGTAGCATTAAGGGCAATGCGATTGGAGGGTCGCATTTTACAATACTTTTCAAATTTAACAATAACGGCTCTCTTTGAATGTGTTACAGTTTATAGTCCGTTTGGCTCAAAAGCGGACCGATGAATTGCAATCTAACTCGAAAACTAATAAACATGAAAGACTCAATGAAACGCTGATCATAATCAAAACATCATACCCACTGTGTGAGGTTTTTTGCAGAATTTTTGTCCTAAAAATAAAAAAGTTGTTTAACAAACTATCATTAAAATATTGACACAGTTGACTATTTGTTACGAGGGAGGAGTGCAGAGAAAGGGACAGCCATGTGTTAGCCATAGTTGTTATGTGTCCCCAACCTCCAACGGGGTAGCCTAGTGGTTAAAACGTTCGTTCGTCACGCCGAGGCCACAGGTTCGATTACCACATGGGTATAACGTGAAGCCCATTTCTGGTGTCCCCCGCCATGATATTGCTGGACTATTGCTAAAAGCGGCGTAAAACTAAACTCACTCGGATGAAGTTTTTGAAAGGCATTTAGAAGTTGGACGAACATGAATACATGACACTTTTATGGATAACAGTTTCTTTTTATTCTTTACACGACGTTTCAGGGCTAACACTTGCTCCTTCATCAGGTAAATGAGCAAGAATTAGCTCTGAAACGTCGTGTAAAGACTAAAAAGAAGTTGGTATCCATAAAAGTGTCATGTATTCATAAAACTTACTCACTCACAACATCTCACTTAAACACATGAACATGCGGTACTAGTTAAATGAGAGGATGGAATTTCAAGTACCGACTCGGATGATATCGTGATAAACGTCTCCCTCATCCAAGAGCTGGGCACACACGTCAGTCCTGAGTGGTTGAAAGTACCAGTACCAGCACGGCACTTTGCCCCAACAAGTGCCCTGTGTCCAGATGAACCCGGGGCGTCCCCACTTGGGAACAATGTGTGAAACCTATTTCATGTGTTTCCCATCTCTTGATTCTGAAGAACTGTATAAAGAGGACATTAATCATAATTTTCACGACTTGGTGTGCAGAAAACCATTTACTCTTAAATGTTACAAAAAACAAAGGTAGGCCTACTGATAATTAATGAAAACCCATCTGTGATGTCATCATGTTATGCATAATTTATTCAGAGTATTTTAACATTGTCCTTCCATTGCTGGTACGGGCCTCTCTCAGTTCATCTCAAATCTTATTTAGACAAAATTCTTTACACTGCAAATACAACCGCTGGAGTCAGATTTGAATGTTTATCATCACCAGGCTAGTGATCCAGCGAGCATGAGGTGCCTGGATCGAGCCCACCTGTGACCGGGTGTAAAAACCTTGGAGTCAACTTTGTGTGCAGACTCTTTCAGTGTTGTCACAACCCCTAGTGTACAGTACACAACCCTGTGCACTTAACAGAACCCACGAATCCGTTGGTAGATGACCAGATGGTGGCCACATGAATGCGTGCAAACACCTAGTTGCGGGTACAGCAACGTGCAGTAAAACTTGGACAAAGTACTGTGACTATGTGTCCCAGTCCACCCAGCTGTGAATGGGTACCTCGTAAGGATGGGAAAGCCACAATAACTCGGTGCGCCTTGTGGCAGCAAGAGTTGTATGCTGCCCAGAGAGTTGAGATTGATAATAAGATGTGCCGTTGAGATTGACATCCAGTGATAGAGGGAAAAAATACCAGCGCCTTGAGCATGCACTAGTGCGTGGATATGTGCGCTATATAAATATCTAATAATAATAATAAATAGTGATAATATATGAGCGGCAAATCGCGAATCAAGCTGTCAAACTTATATCTGACCCAACTCACTACTTAAATTCGGAATACAACCTCCCCCCTCGCCGCTACAAAGTTCCAATTGTGAACCCGTGAATGACCGGGTTAGAATACTGATCTGAGCAGTAACCCATGCTTGTCGTAAGGGGCAACTAACGGGATCGGGTGGTCAGGCCAGCTGACTTGGTTGACACATGTCATCGGTTCCCAATTGCGCAGATCGATGCTCATGCTGTTGATCACTGGCTTGTCTGGTCCAGGCTCGATTATTTACAGACCGCCGCCATATAGCTGTAATATTGCTGAGTGCTGCGTAAAACTAAACTCACTCACTCCAATTGTGAAAACTAAGAGAGCCCGTACATCCCTTATTCCAAGTACCATATCTCTTTTAAACAAATGTGAAGATACTTAAAAATCAATGAATTTATGTAAATATGTTATGTATTTGTATCTCTGTGATGTCTCAGTAGCTATGCTAATGTAACGCAAATTCCCGAAAAGGCATCTATTCTAATGCTGTAAACACAAAAATCAATAAATCAATCAAACTAGTCATTTATATAGCGCCTGTTTTCAGTCCGTGAAGGTCTGCTCAATGGCGCTTAATGGATCCCTGACACAAAGTTTTCAGTAGGATGCCATTTCGAAGAAGTGAGTTTCAAACTAGACTTAAAGTCGCTGAGTTTCTGAATGTCCCCGAGGTTGTCTGGAATTACATTCCACAGTACTGCACCAGCCTTGGAAAAACTTCTGTCATCATAAGAACAGGTGCGTGTTATATGAAAACAATAAAGCAATTACTCTCACACTGACTACCTAAACTAAACAAAACACAAACGAAACTAACCTGAACAAATCGAAACAACGAACTAAACTATCTAAACTACATACGATCCTGGCTGATAACAATAACTAATTGGATTTGATTAAACGAAAAACGATAATTTTGATTTAAATCTTCAAATTATAGTGTTACCTTGAAATACAAAGTGTATCAAAGAGTACTTGTAGGATAAGAAAGTATCCAGTCCGAATCTATATACATGTACCACACACAACTACACATAGACTTGTATCACTATATACATGTACCTCACAACTACACATAGACCTGTATCACTATATACATGTACATGTACCTCACGTAGGTATGATGTAATGCTTGTGACAGAAAGATTCAGAATAATGGTTCGTTATAGTTCTTGGTGCAATACAATGTCATGGTTTAAAACAGACTGATGTGAAAAGCAATCCTCAACAGTATTACACACAATATATTCGCATTCACATAGTAAGATGTAATCGGATATCAAGTTCAAAATCAATACTGTTCATTACAATCCCAAATAAACATTTTCATAAACACCACACACTAACAAGTACTGCTTATGCATGTCATTTTGCAGTACGACCCGTGAAATCCGGGGTCGAATAGGTGTTTAGCAACCCATGCTTGCCACAAAAGGCGAGTATGCTTGTCATAAGAGGCGACTAACGGGATCGGGTGGTCAGGCTCGCTGGCTTGGTTGACACATGTCATCGGTTCCCAATTGCGCAGATCGATGCTCATGCGGTTGATCACTGGATTGTCTGGTCCAGACTCGATTATTTACAGACCGCCGCCATATAGCTGTAATATTGCTGAGTGCTGCGTAAAACTAAACTCACTCACTCACTCATTTTGCAGTACAGTCTGGAGAGATCTGATGACTACACAGATAAAGACAAAATACATGTTTTTCGTGTTGTGTGATCAGGTCAGGTCTGTTTCCAACACAAGACATCTAATTTACACATTTCTTTCTTCAACACCCACTTTAATGTATTACATCTGAGGAAGGTTGTTAGAGGTGACTTTGTTGTCACTTATTGGTGTTCATCTATGTTAAAGTCACCCCGGAACATCTACTGCGCGATGTTTGTTGATGGCTTTATTTATGACAATTCAAGAACAGAAAAAGACAAGTGTGTAGACTTGCATATGTGAGTTAATAACGACTTAATAACGAGGCTCCCAAAATCGCCTTTGTAATAACGTAGCGTGACGGGTACATCACCAGCGACTGCGAACACATACATACACAACAGATCTTCAATAAACAAACTGTAACTGTTGATGTGCGGGTGTAGATATGCTTTAATAGTTATTCACCATCACAATGTTTAGAAAGTACTAAGTGGTTTCATTGAGTGTCAATAACGACAGCTGTTATGGTTAACAAGAGTTTTTATTTGGCGAGTGTGACGTTTTGTAATAGATGCTCGTACGTTGTCGAGCAGAAATGGTACAAGAAAGTACACGAATCTGTATTGAAACGTCGTACTCACGAAGTTGTCAATAAAATTTGTCATTATTGCTTAAATTGTGACATTTAGATCAGAACCGCCGACCTTTAACTGTGATCTAATTGTGTTGCAATGTTAGCCAATGACAATACAAGTGTTAAATAAGTAGTACACACTGGATATAGAAGTGGTGGGCAAGTGCGTGCACCATGAGGAGGAGGGTACAAGAAAGGTTCGTCTTATAGCCTTCTTCAGTTACAGCGTACAGCATTGTATTTGTACGACGACTCATTGATGTTTCAAGAGGTGCCGTCAAGCAAGTCTTATACATATTCCATGTCAGCATTTTGTGATTGACAGTCAAGTCTTCCTATAAAGCCAGAGTACTCCAAACTAAACCACACATCCTGCTGAGACACACTCTGTGAAGACAGCATGGTGTTCCGACTTTGTCTGTGTGTAGCCTTGCTGTTTGCTTGTGGACATGCCAACAAATCCGGTGACTATTGTCGGGTTTTGGTCAACTACGACACATTTAAGACATCCGTGGACCAATTTCTGGCTTCCCGGAATGAAACCTGTGGGAACTCGGATGTGGGCAGTGGTGAGTACGTAGCACTTGTTACTTAGTCATCCAACACCAAATCTTTATACTTTGTTAGTTTTGTTTTCTGGTTTATGTTCTAGATTGTCAACCATTGCTTTGTCCTGACCTGTTTACTCACCACCAAAATGCCACGGGGCTGGGTGTTTCTCTTTTAGAAATTAGTTTGATAATACACAGGTGATTGAAAATATTAAAGGCGCTATTCCACACCACATGTCTCTAAAATAGATAATGCATTTCTCTCAATAATAGTAGCAGCCCTCAGAAAGCTACCATGTAATATATAATTTATTCCAAAATGATACGTATTTAAATTACTATACAAAATTAAAAAGTTCGAATAAATTAAATGCAATGTTTGACTCCCACGCCCTCCACCGGCCAAACATTATTTCAAGCGAAACCCATAGAGTTATGTCCCTTGGAGCGCTCTTTACGAATATCCTATGCACAACGTGTGATTGAAACCAGTTTGGCAAACACCGACAGCATCGCGTGCGACAGTTTTCGATGTACGGAACAATTGTTTACATTCCATATGTGGCAAGTCTTCTCTGTTTCGAATCTGTTCGCCTCGAAGTTTCAATTATCGATTTCAGGGAAGTCGTAAGGGATGATAAGTTTTAATTGCTAAAGTGAGTCCATATATCCCAATATATATAATGTAGGCCTAAATATTGTCGTAAATGCGCGAGACAGTGCCTTTAAAAGCTTGAGTACTTAAGTACTTGAGTATATAATTCGCGCTGTTAGTGAGTTGGTTTACATATTTTATACAATTTACCTGGGATCTTGGGTACATATTTAATTCGTATTATTCATGAGCTGATACATATTTAATACATTTTCACAGTGAGTTTGTGTACATATACAGTATACATGTACGTGGACTCTGGTTTCAGCTAACTGGAACCAATTCTAATCCTGAATCTTCAGGGGAAATAATTGCAAATGATATTTTCAGAAAGCAAAGCAACCCGCCTGAAAGCTATGGACAAGCGTATTAAAGACCTGGAGAACACAGTCGGTACGTAATCCTTTCTCTGATAGCTTTATGTTGTTCGTTCCTAGTTCAGTTACGTGTAGACAGCACAAGGTAATGCATCTCTTAATCAAGTATAACAGACTTACTTACATATCTAATGTTTACTTGCCTCTGAAATGCTTAAATCCCGCGGGGTAGGGATGAGGGTAATGGTGGGCTTACATTTATAAGGCCACTGGGATTTTTAAGATGGAACAAGCCTGGGAAGAGGCCTGTGTTCTTCAGCTACGAAACGATGTTAGACCTCAACATAGCAGGAGAAGATATGTTGAACTGATCCATGCCTTGGGTGGGTATGGTTATGGTTATGGTTATAGTACGGTTATAAGGTGAGGTGAGGTGAGGTGAGGTGAGGTGAGGTGAGGTGAGGTGAAATTAGTTTTAACGTCGTGCTTGAGAATATTTCGCTCATATGACGACGTGCATGCGTGTGTATGTGTATGTGCGGCTGCTTGTACTAGCCCAGACTGAAGCTGGTTTTATAGTGCTAGCTCACTGAGATACAATGCCGCAGTGAAGCATGAATACCCCACTCAGACACAGTATACTGACTCCGAGCCGACCAGTCCTTGTTGTACCCATTAATGCCGAGCGCCAGGCAGGGACCAACAAGTACCATATTTTAACGTCTTTTGGTATGACGGGGTCGGGGATCGAACCCGCGAACTTCTGCACTCCGGGCGGACGCTCTAACCACTACACCACGGAGGCGGTACAGATATAAGGAACTCATGACCGTAGTTCGTTATACGTATTTCTTGTAGATATTGTATAACCGAAAGCATTCATCTGACTATCGATTTTATACCATTACTGCCACATGACCAAATCTTCACTTCCCCAGGAAAGTGATATTCCTTTACAAGGAAAGTGAAACATGAAACAATAGCCACACCCGCGCGCACCTACACGCGCGCGCACACACACATCCATACCACCACACGCGCGCGCGCACACACATACCCACACGCACTCCCCTATATATACAAACCCTTACACACACACACACTCACACTCGTGAACACTCACACTTACACACCCGTGAAGATCAGGGTTAGAATATTGATCTTCAGAAACCCATGCTGTAAGAGGCGATTAACGGGATCGGGTGGTCAGGCTCGCTGACTTGGTTGACATATGCCATCGGTTCCAAATTGCGCAGATCGATGCTCATGCTGTTGATCACTGGATTGTCTAGTCCATACTCGATTATTTATAGACCGCCGCCGTATATACTATGCAGCAAAAGAAATGTCAGTTTGGAAATTTCCTTCGCAGAAACGTATAACTGTAAACTCATGTAATTAATGGTCTGATTGTATATTTTTGACAACATTTCCAACTTTATCTGAGCAAAGACATTCCTTCCCAACTGAAGCCAGGAAATGGTCTCAAAAACGCAACCTGACCTCGGAGATGGTATGGTGTTCTCCATGTTTTTCATGCAACTCATGCTGCACGTGCTGTTCACAAGGACCAGGCCTATATGCATCCCTTAAATCTGGTTGATACATTCACATAACAACGTCAGCAGGATTACGCGACTCACGACAGTTCAGAGGAATCAGGCGCTAAGAAGACTTGAAGCTGGCCACACTGCACAAGCCGTTGCCAATCACTTCCAGGTCAATGTTCGGACCATCTACAGGCTTCAGCAACGTTTCCGGGCCACCAACACCACAAATGATCGCCTCCGTACTGGCAGACCAAGGGTGACCACAAGACGACAAGACCGCCATGTTGTGCGGCAGCATGTACAGAATCCCTTCATGCAGGCTTCCGGAACAGCACGCCAGACAGTGGGAACACACGGAAGACCAATCAGTACTGATACAGTACGCAGACGTCTTAACAGCGGGAACCTCCATTGCCGTAGACCTTACGTGGACCTATCCTCACCCCTCGTCATCGGCGTGAACGTCTACAGTTTGCCCTACAACACCAAAACTGGCGATACAGGCAATGGAGAAATGTTCTGTTCACAGATGAGAGTCGGTACTGCGTATCAACTGCAGATGGCAGAACAAGAATATGGCGACGACGTGGCCAGCGTTACTCAGACCAATGTGTTATGGAAAGAGATTCATGGGGAGATGCAAGCATAATGGTATGGAATGGAATATGCCTGAACCAGAGAGTGGGTTCTGTGGTGTTGCAGAACCTTGGTCCAGGGAGAGGAGGCGGCATCACAGCTGTGCGCTACATCGACCAAGCTCTCAGACCCCACGTCATATCACATTTCACCGGAACAACATTTTCCAGCATGAGCTACAAGGGACTTCCTACAGCAGAACGGTGTCAACATTATGCAGTGGCCAGCCCTTAGGCCTGATTTAAACCTTTGGTTGAAATTCAGAGGAGACTGAATAATGTCATACCAAGGCCGAACACAGTCGATTTATTGTGCCAGGCCTTTCTCAGAGTGTGGTTCAAGGTGCCAATGGCCTTCATCAATCGATTGGTGCACTCCATGCATAAACGATGTGCTGCAGTTGTTATTGCCGCTCGTGGTGGTCACACCAGATACTGAAGTGAAGATCCTGAATGGAGTTATTCATTGATGTGTCAAGAAATTGTATACAAAAAATGTTTTTGATCCGTTAATCATGTCCATTTCTGTAATGATTTGATTACAGTGCCTGTCTAATTTTGAATTCGTACTGACGGGTTTTTTTTGCTGCTGAGTATAGCTGCGGCGTAAAACTAAACTCACTCACACTTACACACTTACACCTGTTGATGCTTTCCTACCTAAGGCGTCTGGTCAATTATGCTGAGTTTGAGATATGCTGGACATTGCAGGGTCATTTATGCTTACTGAGTCTTGTTTGTGGACTCATACGTCAAAACATTTTTTTCTTGCTCATGTCGTTGTCAAAAGCAGCATAGGACTTTCATAATGTCTCTATGTTGATTTACTTTACAGCCAACCTGACGTCGGAGCTGAGAGTGGATTGTGGTTCTCCAACTCCTGCAGGAGGCACAGACGTTGTCTACAGCTCAACAGGTCTTCACGCCATTGCCAACTACAGATGCAAGAAGGGTTTTCTTAGCATATACCCTGGTGAACAGATGATGAGCTTGTGTCAGAAAGATGGGCACTGGACCATGGTCAACGTGAAGTGCGTCAACAGTAAGGATGCAACCTAGTTTAATGTCAAAATGAAAACGTCTTGAAGTTCTATTGAAAATATAAGTACAGCCTACACGCCTCGATTTCCCCTGCTCAGTCTCGTCCAATAATCACAACTGCAAACTGAACCTGTTACTAAGTCTGATATATAATATTGGCATGGTGATAATAATAATGACAACTAAACTCTGTCAAAAAAGAAACGCAACCCCTGTCCTCAGATATGAAAAATTCGTTTGAATGAAGTTATTGCTTCCAAACTAAATGTTATTCGAATGTATTGAAATTATACACGTAATTAATGAAGATTACCATCCAAACAACTGCATTTGTACGCATAAGTGTATTTTATTGCTTATTCCGTCACAACGCATGAAATGACCCTCATGGTGACTTCGCACAAATAAAACACATGCAAATCATGAAAATGGCAGTTAATGTAGGGGTGTATAAAAGCCCATGTGCTTTCGTATTATATTCATTCATTTGTCGCATGAAAAGCTGTGTGAAAAATGCCACGATTGAGTGCTGCCGACCGAAATATCGCCATTGGTCGTGTTCAAGCCGGAGAAAGTTTTGGAACTGTTGCACGGCACCTAAATGTTCACAAAACAACGATATCCCGACTTTGGAGCCGCTACAACAACTTCAATTTGACCAACGATCGCCCGAGAAGTGGAAGGCCAAGAATCACGACCCCCCTTCAAGATCGGTACATCCGGGTCCATCACCTGCGTAATCGGCATGCCCTACCAACCGTGACTGCCACACAAATACCAGGTTTGAGGAGAGTGTCAGCTCAAACGATTAGGAACCGTCTGAAAGAAGCGGGTTTACGTGCCTGTAGACCAGTTGTTGGACCTGTACTACGCCCCTACATCTCCGCCGACGACTCCAGGTGGTGCAACAACGTAAGGATATGGACTTTACAAAACTGGAGGCGCATCTGGTTTTCTGATGAATCCTGTTTTCTTTTGCAACATCACGACGGAAGAAAACGTGTGTATAGGAGACGTCATGAACGTTTTGCGCCCCTCTGCGTCCGACAGGGGACAGATTTGGCGGAGAAAGCGTTATGGTTTGGGGATCCATTTCATACAACCAGAAATCAGACTTGGTGATCGTTGAAGGAACCTGACAGCCCAACGTTACATCAACCACGTATTACAGCCTCACCTTCTCCCGATTATTGACCAACAGACACAGATTTTTCAACCAGACAACGCCCGGCCTCATACTGCACGTGCAACAATGAACTTTCTGCAGAATTCCAACGTCAATGTCTTGCCATAGCCCTCTAAATCACCAGACCTCAACCCTATTGAACACCTGTGGGATACTCTGGGTCGACGCGTACGTCAACGTCAGCCGCCGCCACAGACGCTGCAACAGCTCGGCGTTGCACTGCAGGAGGAGTGGAGAGCCATTCCCCAGGAAAGAATCCGGCGTCTTATCCGTTCTTGTCCAAGGAGATGCCGTGCAGTGATTGCAGCTCGTGGTGCTCATACGAGATACTGAGAAAGACGCCCCCCTGGTGACAAACTGGTGTCTGTGAGATGACTTTTGAAATGACAATTTTAAACATGCCCATCTTGGTTATTATTCTGCCAAATTTCAGACTTCTGTCTTAAATAATAAAAATGCTGTGTCGTCTTAAAACTTCAGATCAAAATCTCTAAAATACAGGGGTTGCGTTTCTTTTTTGACAGAGTTTACTACTGTTGCTGCTACTGCTAGTCTTATTACTACTACTACTACTACTACTATTGCTACTACTACTACAACAGTTGCTACTACTAATACAACAGTTGCTACTACTACTACAACAGTTGCTACTACTAATACAACAGTTGCTACTACTACTACAACAGTTGCTACTACTACTACAACAGTTGCTACTACAACTACTACTACAACAGTTGCTACTACTAATACAACAGTTGCTACTACAACTACTACTACAACAGTTGCTACTACTAATACAACAGTTGCTACTACTACTACCACCATAATTACTGCTACTACTACTACTACTACTACAACAGTTGCCACTACTACTACTACAACAGTTGCTACTACTAATACAACAGTTGCTACTACTACTACAACAGTTGCTACTACAACTACTACTACAACAGTTGCTACTACTAATACAACAGTTGCTACTACTACTACAACAGTTGCTACTACTACTACAACAGTTGCTACTACAACTACTACAACAGTTGCTACTACTAATACAACAGTTGCTACTACTACTACAACAGTTGCTACTACTACTACAACAGTTGCTACTACAACTACTACTACAACAGTTGCTACTACTAATACAACAGTTGCTACTACAACTACAACAGTTGCTACTACTAATACAACAGTTGCTACTACTACTACAACAGTTGCTACTACTACTACAACAGTTGCTACTACAACTACTACTACAACAGTTGCTACTACTAATACAACAGTTGCTACTACAACTACTACTACAACAGTTGCTACTACTAATACAACAGTTGCTACTACTACTACCACCATAATTACTGCTACTACTACTACTACTACTACAACAGTTGCCACTACTACTACTACAACAGTTGCTACTACTAATACAACAGTTGCTACTACTACTACAACAGTTGCTACTACAACTACTACTACAACAGTTGCTACTACTAATACAACAGTTGCTACTACTACTACAACAGTTGCTATTACTACTACAACAGTTGCAACAGTTGCTACTCCTACAACAACAGTTGCTACTACTACTACAACAGTTGCTACTACTACTACAACAGTTGCTACTACTACTACTACAACAGTTGCTACTACTACTACAACAGTTGCAACAGTTGCTACTACTACTACAACATTTGCAAGAGTTGCTACTACTACTACAACAGTTGCTACTACTACTACAACAGTTGCTACTCCTGCTACAACAGTTGCTACTACTACTACAGCAGTTGCTACTACTACTACCACCATAATTACTGCTACTACTACTACTACTACTACCACCATAATTACTGCTACTACTACTACTACTACTACCACCATAATTACTGCTACTACTACTACTACTACTACCATCATTACTGCTACTACTACTACTACTACTACTATCACCATAATTACTGCTACTACTACTACTACTACTACTACTACTACTACTATTATTACTACTACTACTGATGATAATGATTACTAATCACTACTACAACTAACTACAAATAATGGTACTAATGTGACTTCTACAACTACTACTACTACTACCGTGACTACCAGTACTTATGTTCCTCATACGGCTACTACTGATCTTACCTTGTTAACAGTAAAAAGTTGTTAATTGTTGCTTGCTTTACACCGAGAGCCTTCCTGTACAGATATCGGGAATAGTAACATCACATACCGCAATTATTTCTGCTTATTCTATCATTACTACATCCGTAAGGTCCGGGTTAGAATGAGCCCTGAGTAACCCATGCTTGTCGTAAGAGGCGACTAACGGGATCGGGTGATCAGGCTCGCTGGCTTAGTTGAGACATGCCATCGGTTCCCAATTGCGCAGATCGCCACATGGGTGGAATATTGCTGAGTGCGGCGTAAAGCTAAACTCACTCACTACTACTACTACTACTGCTGCTGCTACTGCTACTACTACTACTAATGATACATTACTACTATTACAACAACTACTACTACCACTTCAACTAGAAAAAGAAGTAGAAGAGCATGATACCCCCTTAAAGCCCCTATTCCACTGATTGCTTCCGTGGTGTAGTGGTTAGAGCGTCCGCCCGGAGAGTGGAAGGTCGCGGGTTCGATCCCCGACCGCGTCTTACCAAAAGACGTTTAAAATGTGGTACTTGTTGGTCCCTTGCCTTGCTCGGCATTTATGGGTACAACAAGGACTGGTCGGCTCTGAGTCAATATACTGAGTGGGGAATTCATGCTTCACTGCGGTATGGTATCTCAGTGGGCTAGCACTATAAAACCAGCTTCAGCCTGGGCTAGTACAAGCAGCCGCACATACACATACACACGCATGCACGTCGTCATATGAGCGAAATGTTCTCAAGTACGACGTTAAACCCCATTTCACCTCACCTCAACTCACCTCACCTCTATTCGTCTGGACGCATTTATTTCCCTTATTCAGCTAGACCCATGATGATTGGTATTTTTATCAACTGATTTGTTTTCCTTGACAGTCTCTGGCTGCTGGACGATAAATGCTGGAAAAGCGTTTTACACCGGAACTCTATCAGCAACAATAACTGGCAAGGTCTGTCAGCGATGGGATTCCCAGTCGCCACAAACCCACAGCGTCAAGGAAGACTTTAAGTTCTCCATCCCAGGAGCTGACACTCCCCAAACTGTCACAGGATCTGCTAACTACTGCCGTGACCCATCTCGTTCGGGGTATTTGTGGTGTTACACCACTGATGGTAATACACGCTGGGAAAAGTGTCATGTCCCTATGTGTAACATCCAGGACTGATAGGGTTACAGGTACAAATCTGACCCGTTTGATTTCTGTCCTTGTTTACTCTCCAATCTTATACTAACGGAAGCAGTTGTGTCTATACTGTCAGGTATATCAGCTCTTATCTTACCTGACACATAAATGTCGCTTTCTGATTGGCTGAGCGCTCTTCTGTTATTTTCAATGTACCCCGCTTACAAGCGAGTAACATTTCAATGTACCCCGCTGTCAATGGCAACTCATTTGGTACTTCGTGGTAGTAATTATTATCTCGAATAACATTGAATCACGTATGATGTACGGAAATTACCGATGTTTTGTGATATGCGAACGGTGGAAAGGAGATAACTCTAAATCTGTTTTTCTTCTCAGCAAAATCTAGCGACGGCTACAAAAAGATTTGTACCCGTGATTCAATGAATTCAAAATTAACATTAAGGTGTTCGGTAAGATAAATACGTTGAACACTGGTCCCTCGGGGCCCATGGGTTGATGTACCCGCGATGTTTGTTTATGTTCCACAACATGGAACAGCAAACAATTGTGCCCATCGAACCCGGGTCTTCGGCGGGACAATCAACCCACCGCCCCTCTATGCCCCCCTCATGACCAGTGAACAACTTATATTATATCTCTTTGGTTTCCAATCGTATTCTTTTCAGTAATGTGGTGAAAATTCCAGACCTGTAAATTCAAGTCTTCTCCCCACGGTAATAAACCGTGATACAACTTGAAAAAACTTTTTAAAGGGGGGTGCAAACCCTCTCACTCTCTTCTAATGGTAATGCTTACTTTGCGATTAGTTGATGCTTTATTATCCCAGGGGAAGTTGGTTTGATGTATTAAAAAGCAAACAAATGTCAGTGGGGATTACAGGTGAGAACAGGTGTAGGGAACCACTGCAACCTGGCCTGTACTAAAGAGTTGATATCAGGGATTGGGCGATAGCAGGTGCTTTTTCCTCTATGCCATGTACCGTTGCTCACAATAGCAATCACCGAATTGTGTAGTTCAGCTCGATTGTTCCCATTACCCCCGTCGTATAGCTAATTCATAAACAAATACACACATGTATGTAAGTGATGATGTCACATATATTGTGATGGAAAGGCTGTTAGTCAATCTTTGCTTGATTGTCAGTAATGAATAAAGAGTATCGAAATAGTGTTGTTTTTAATATTGATTTTAATTCTGTTTTTGTTTAAAAAGTTTGATTCTCGACACTGTCATACATTCGCTGTCTCCGTGGACTGACAGACAGACGTCTATCCAGAGATTGATAGGTTGCTCTATCCCTTCGCTGCCTCCATAGCTGGGAGATACACGTCTGTCAAGAGATGAGACAGTCGGTGGCTCTATCCCCTCGCTGGGTCTGTGAGCCGGCAGATAGACGTCTACCCAGAGATGAGACAGTCGGTGATTCGATTCCCTCACTGCAACCGTGGGTTGGCAGATATACGAGTACCAAGAGATTGAACGGTCGGTGGTTCGATCCCCTCGCTGAATCTGTGAGCTGGCTGATAGACGTCTGCACAGAGACAAAACGGTCGGTTGTTGTATCCCCTCACTGTAGCCGTGAGCTGGCTGATAGACGTCTGCACAGAGACAGACCGGCCGGTTGTTGTATCCCTTCACTGTAGCCGTGAGCAGGCTGATAGACGTCTACACAGAGACAGAACGGTCGGTTGTTGTATCCCCTCACTGTAGCCGTGAGCTGGCTGATAGACGTCTACACAGAGACAGAACGGTCGGTTGTTGTATCCCCTCACTGTAGCCGTGAACTGGCTGATAGATGTCAACACAGAGACAGATCGGTCGGCGGTTGTATCCCCTAACTGTAGCCTTGAGCTGGTTGATAGACGTCTACACAGAGACAGATCGGCCGGTGGTTGTATCCCCTCACTGTAGCTGTGAGCTGTCTGATAGACGTCTACACAGAGACAGAACGGTCGGTTGTTGTATCCCCTCACTGTAGCCGTGAGCTGGCTGATAGACGTCTACACAGAGACAGAACGGTCGGTTGTTGTATCCCCTCACTGTAGCCGTGAGCTGGCTGATAGACGTCTACACAGAGACAGAACGGTCGGTTGTTGTATCCCCTCACTGTAGTCGTGAGCAGGCTGATAGACGTCTACACAGAGACAGAACGGCCGGTTGTTGTATCCCCTCACTGTAGCCGTGAGCTGGCTGATAGACGCCAGAGACAGAACGGTCTGTTGTATACCCTCACTGTAGCCGTGAGCTGGCTGATAGACGTCTACACAGAGACAGAACGGCCGGTTGTTGTATCCCCTCACTGTAGCCGTGAGCTGGCTGATAGACGTCTACACAGAGACAGAACGGCTACAGTGTTGTATCCCCTCACTGTAGCCGTGAGCAGGATGATATACGTCTACACAGAGACAGAACGGCCGGTTGTTGTATCCCCTCACTGTAGCCGTGAGCAGGCTGATAGACGTCTACACAGAGACAGAACGGCCGGTTGTCGTATCCCTTCGCTGAATCCGTGAGCTGGCTGATAGACGTCTACACAGAGACAGAACGGTCGGTGGTTGTATCCCTTCACTGTAGCCGTGAGCTGGCTGATAGACGTCAACACAGAGACAGATCGGTCGGTGGTTGTATCCCCTCACTGTAGCCGTGAGCTGGCTGATAGACGTCTACACAGAGACAGACCGGCCGGTTGTTGTATCCCTTCACTGTAGCCGTGAGCAGGCTGATAGACGTCTGCACAGAGACAGAACGGTCGGTTGTTGTATCCCCTCACTGTAGCCGTGAGCAGGCTGAGAGACGTCTACACAGAGACAGAACGGCCGGTTGTTGTATCCCTTCACTGTATCCGTGAGCTGGCTGATAGACGTCTACACAGAGACAGAACGGTCGGTTGTTGCATCCCCTCACTGTAGCCGTGAGCAGGCTGATAGACGTCTACAGAGACAGAACGGCCGGTTGTTGTATCCCCTCACTGTAGCCGTGAGCTGTCTGATAGACGTCTACACAGCTAATAGATACTTAGTGGTTCGACCCCTCGCTGTCTTCATGGGCTAGCAGATAGACATCTGTCCACAGATTAGACGTTTGATGGTGGCAGACAGATGTCTACTCAGACATTGTACGGTTGATTGTGTTACTCACCGTTGCAACCGTGGGGCTGACAGATATACGTCTATCCAGATTCCCGACCGCGTCATCCTCTCCCTGCCTCCATGGGTTGGCAGATAGACGCCTGTCCAGAGATAATTTCAATATATTAAGAAGTTGTATATCATTTGTTTCATAACGGTGTTAGTAGATACACCGAAACGTCTCTCATAATATATTAAGGATTTGTATATCATTTGCTTTATAACGGTGTTAGTAGCTACACCGAAACGACGCTGATAATATATTTAGAAGTTGTATAACATTTGCTTGATTACGGTGTTAGCAGATACACCGAAATGTCGCCGATAATATATTAAAGAAGTTGCAATAGATTTGCTTGATAACGGTGTTAGTAGCTACACCGAAACGTTGCTCATAATATAATAAGAAGTTGTATATCATTTGCTTGATAACGACGTTAGTAGCTACACCGAAACGTTGCTCATAATATAATAAGAAGTTGTACATCATTTGCTTGATAACGGTGTTAGTAGCTACACCGAAACGTCGCTGATAATACATTAAAGAAGTTGTATAACATTTGCTTGATAACTGTGTTAGTAGCTACACCGAAACGTCGCTGATAATATATTAAAGAAGTTGTATCACATTTGCTTGATAACGGTGTTAGTAGCTATACCGAAACGTCGCTCATAATATATTAAAGAAGTTGTATAACATTTGCTTGATAACTGTGTTAGTACCTACACCGAAACGTCGCTGATAATATATTAAAGAAGTTGTATCACATTTGCTTGATAACGGTGTTAGTAGCTATACCGAAACGTCGCTCATAATATATTAAGAAGTTGTATAACATTTCCTTGATAACTGTGTTAGTAGCTACACCGAAACGTCGCTCATAATATATTAAAGAAGTTGGATAACATTTGCTTGATAACGGTGTTAGTAGCTACACCGAAACGTCGCTCATAATATATTAAGAAGTTGTATCACATTTGCTTGATAACGGTGTTAGTAGCTACACCGAAACGTTGCTCATAATATATTAAAGAAGTTGTATCACATTTGCTTGATAACGGTGTTAGTAGCTACACCGAAACGTTGCTCATAATATATTAAAGAAGTTGTATATCATTTGCCTGATAACGGTGTTAGTAGCTACACCGAAACGTCGCTGATAATATATTAAGAAGTTGTATAGCATTTGCTTGATAACGGTGTTAGTAGCTACACCGAAACGTCGCTGATAATATATTAAGAAGTTGTATAACATTTGCCTGATAACGGTGTTAGTAGCTACACCGAAACGTCGCTGATAATATATTAAGAAGTTGTATATCATTTGCTTGATAACGGTGTTAGTAGCTACACCGAAACATCCCTGATAATATATTAAAGAAGTTGTATAACATTTGCTTGATAACGGTGTTAGTAGCTACACCGAAACGTCGCTCATAATATTTTAAAGAAGTTGTATATACATAGAACTCTCCTCGTTGGTAAGCGCAGTAGTTGGAACAAAGAAACCAATGCACGTCCGGTACGTGATGAGTGTTCACGAAGACCAACCCCACTTGTTCTCGGTGTTTCATTTAATGTGCATAACCCCTTGTAATACTAACCAATAATAGCGATTTAAAACTGTTTTATTTAGAGTGCATAAACCCTTGTAATACTAACCAATAATAGCGATTTGAAACAATGATCGTTTGTTAAACAACTTTTATCCTAAGTTAAAAAAATTCTCAGATTTAAATGTTCATTTGGCAAAGTAAAATTATGAGGATTGGCAATCTTAATTTCACTTTATTTGATTTACTTTTTTGTTTAAAGTGAAATTTATCGGTGCGTTTTCACTGTAAACATACTATAACCTATACGTACCTTGTGAATTAATTTCTGCTTTAATAATGTACAATGAGTGAGTGAGTAGGGTTTTACGCCGCCTTTAGCAGTATTCCAGCAATATCATGGAGGGGGACACCAGAATTGGGCTTCACACATTGCACCCATGTGGGAAATCGAACCCGCGCCGGCGTGAAGAGCGAACGCTTTAGCCACTAGGCTACCCCACCGCCCCTGATGTAAAATGACCCTGCAAGAATTGATCGTCTTGTGGATCTCAGT